TTAGCTCTCTTAGACTACCTTTAAAAGGCTAAGGTTGGGGAGGTAGCTGAGTGGTGGAATGCTTGCCCAGCAAAGTCTCAGAGTTGATCTCCCCACCGAGCCTTCATGTTTTGGGATTAAAAAATATCAAATACCAATTATGTAGGATGGAGTAGTTAAACCAAGTCAAACTCAGGCACCCTCTAAGCAGGTCTGAGAAAGCCAACCCAAACAGTTAATTAAGCTTATTTCCCGGAGGACTCTATCAGAGACTTGACTTGGGCCTTCAAGATTTAAGAGAGCCTGGCAAGATCAGCTGTATTTCTGAGCACACAGTAGGTGTTCAGTAAAATGAGGCAAATGGGTGAATAAGCAGGAGTAGAGTTAAGATGAATCAAAATTAAAACAGCAATCTAAGACACGCGCTTCTGAAACGTCAGGGAGGTAGGAGGGCTTTCTGGGGCCCTCTGCTGTGTCTCCTAGGGCAATAGCTATTGCATAGTAAAGGACCCTGTCATTTTCTCATCTCCCCACCTGATTTCTAGTCCCTAATAGCCTTCCTTGAATGGAAGAGAAGGAGACAGGGATGCTGGGTCACAACCTGAGGTGGCCCTGAAGGCAGATTCTGGCACCAGTAGCTGAGCTGGAGACTGGAATCCCAGAAACGCTCTCTGGGAGATGCGAAGGCCCTCATAGTCCACAGGGGTTTTCTTATGCCAGTACTGGAAGCTCAACCGCATCTGGTCTAGCAATGGCAGAAGGACCTCCCTGCAGAGATCTGGCACTGTATGGGATAGTCAAGGGAGACCCCAAGGCCTTCCCTTAAACAGAGTGTAGCTGGGCAGAGCCTGTTGGGTACCATACTCAGAGTGGCCAGGTGGGCCGAGCCTTGTAGCACAGGGCTCTGATGGGCACGCTTGCTGGTTCGAGGGACAGGTGCTCATTCCTTCCTCCTTATTTTTCACCCATCACTTGGCTGGTCCAGTGCAAACCCTGGAAAGACTCATTGTTTTCTCTGGAAGAACCGAAACAGGTGGGATTTTTGGCAAAGCCCTCCCACAAAGCCACGGCTTGCAGGAAAATGGGTTCACACAGCCTGTTTCTAAGAGCTAAGGTCACACTGGCCCTCTCTTTCTCTGCTCAGCATCTAGAACAGCAAAGTACCACACATTTCAGGAAAAGACCCCAAAGCCTGGCACCGGAGTATTGGTGACATTTTCCCAAATATTACCTTTGGGTAATATTTCAGATTGCCCTGGCACAGCCCCCAGAGAGCCCCGGGTCACCACCACAAGTGCAAGCCCCGCCAGCAGTTTAGGAGAGGATGGCTCCCCTAAACTGGTCCCCGTGTTTGAGGTTTTAGAAGCTTCCACGGCAAAGAAGAGAGGAAACGATGAGCTTTATAAAGAACCGTATTTATTTTCATTTACAGCATCAAATATCATAAATAAACCTAAACATCGTTTGCTGTGTGGGAAAATACAGGGTTCCATATGGCACTGTAAATGAATGTCTCTAGGGTCACAGACATGCCTTGCCATGAGATGGGGAGCCTAAAGAGGCTGAGAGCGAGGGTGGGGGGCCTCTCTTTGGTTGGCATTTTAGAGAGGGGAATGCTGGAAGAGAAGAAAAGAGGAAAGGAGAGGAAGAGGGATTTGTACCGGCTGGGCTCTGTGCCAATGCAGCAAGCAAGTGCAGCATGCGGGGCCGGGAGGCAGGCGAAGGGCAGGGTAGCTACATGTGAAATGGCCTCTGACTGTAGCCTGCAGATGCAGGACTGGGCTCACACACACTTCATGCATGTTTTCTGCAGTAGCACAGGACTGTCCTGCTATTCCAGGTAAAGGAGCAGAGAGACCAGGCCATTTAGGCGGATGGACAGGAGCATTGACAGTGGCTTATAGTGAGTTATTTCTGAAGTTCCTTTCCTGAGACCATGACCGCTCTGAGGAAAGCCTGTGACACCAGAGGGACTTAAGAGCCTGGAGGCCTGTGAAAGGCACAGCAGGTCCCTCGGACTCACCATGCTGAAACAGAGGAAGGCCTCGCTAGCTTCATTGTGTTCACAGCACGGAACATGGGTCAAGCTGGCCACGGAGTCTGGGGACAAGCATACTTTTAAAACCTCACCAAACCGAGTCACTTATGGCTCCAAATTGAAGGGATTGGTGAGCTTTGTATTGGAACTGGCTGAAGAAGATATCCCCAGACATGTCCTTTTCTTAAAAGAGGACACTAAGAAGAAATGTTTTCAAAGCTGACAGAGCCCTCCTTTTATCCTATTGTCTCACAGTCATGGTGAACCCTCCCAAGAAGACAAAAGGCTTTGAAAGTGCAACTGAGAAAGCATGCGTAGGGGCCAGCCCAGGATTGGGGGTGGGGGTGGGGGGCACGCACTTGTTGTGGACCCAGGCTTCTGGCTGGGCTCTGGGCTTTCAAGCTGACCCCCGCCCCATGCTGTTAACTGCTCATGCCTCTAAGGAGTATGCAAGACACTCACAGTTAGTGCAACCAGTACCACCGACGCGGAGGATGGGGTGCGGAAAGCGGGTTAGGGGTTGTTAGTACCTCTCTGAAAACTGTCAAGAAAATCAGTCACCTTAGAGCAGAAGTGTCAGCCAAGGAGTGGGTGTAGGACTGGAAGGCTGAAACGCACTGGCGGCCACAGTGTGAGGTGGAAAGAGAAAGACAGAAAGGAGGACTTAGTGAGGGAGTAAAACCAATCCAAATCACAACAGGAAAAGGCACTGGAGGCCAGAGACAGGGAAGCCACTGTCCCCCCCCCCCTCCCACAAGAGGACTGCTCGCTTAGGAGAGACAAACCTTCCTGGTGATGGCCAGCTACACATCCCCAAGAGTGCCTGCACAGGGTGCAGAGCATCCGAACCCCACTCTTGTCCACAAGCGTTCCCAGGACCTTCTGCCCCATTAGCCTCCCCGGTCTCCATTTCACTCTGGGGTCTCACACTCACCCCGAGATTCATCTGTACAGTAACTGTCTCCCAGGACCCGCCCCCGCTGTTGCTCACCAGGAAGGTTCAAGGTCTCAGAACACACAGATGTCTCAGCCTTGTGGCTGACACACCCTGTCTGTCTGAGTAATTCAAACCAGCCTCTGTATGGCTATAAATGACTTTTTTTTCCTTCTTTTTTTTGAGAGTTCACTCTGGCTTCCCAGAACATTCCACAAAGCATCCCAGCCCACCCCAAACTGGAGAAAAATCACTCCAACATGACCTCAAGAATTCATGTGACATAATGAAACATAGGACTCAAGGACCCCTCCCATCATGCTTGACCACTGAAACCCCAGCTATAAGTAGGGCAGATACAACGTAAGTCACCACACTGGCAGCAATTACAACAAGGCCAGAGGTGCTGGTTCCCACAGACTTGCTCACAGCCATGCCTTTCCCATGACTTCAGGGCAGAGTCTCTAGAAAAGCACCCCTCTTTCCCTGCCCTACAGAAGCTGATGTCAAAGCTTTCACGGTGCTGAAACCAGACCTTTCTAATCTCTAGAGGGCACGCTAGTGGCGGCAGCTCTGCATAGCTGTCCTGATGACTGTAGCTACCCGGAGTACCTGGAAGGCCCTACCAACCCTCTAGCTGCTCAACCTGCCACTGAAGCTGAGCATCACAGTGTGGGGTGGGGACAGCTGAAGGCTCTTTCCAGAATGGAAAACACTATGGGCTTGAAGCCACCCAAAGACCAGTCACTCTCCTTTTTCTGGGGCACTGGGAGAAGGCTTTCTGGCCGCGTTGTTGAAATATGCAAGGCAGCCATGTGACTGAACATCCAGGGTGCCACCAGCAAGGCTCACAGATCAGGGCCATGCTTCCCATAGGCCAGCAAGTACCCCCAGGTTCAAAAGACATCAGGGAGAGGCAGCCTGACCATGACAGACTGAGTAACTGCGGCTCAGCCTGCAGCCTGGGTCCAGGGCTTGGCAAGGATGAAAATGGCAGCAACTGAAATAGTTTGTCCTCAGCATTCACATCAGCCTGACAGAACTATTCAGGGTCAAGGGCCAGCAGGCTTTTGATTTGGTGGGCATGAGGGATATGAGCAAAATACCTCTCCCCTACCCTGAGGACAAATGGCACATGGCTGTGTGCTTTGGTAGATTTTGGTTTATTTCATCCCTCTACTAACTTCTTTTAACCTCATTATGTTTTTACATACATGTGTTTTTGAAACAAACAAACCCAGCACCCACTGTGAACAAGTGGCACCTGGATGTGTAAGTCCAAAGGTATTGGTCATGTGACTGAACCCTTTCTTGTGTGTCTCTAGTCTCAGCTCACTAACTTTGCTGGCAGGAAAAAAAAAAAAAATCTCAACTCACTGCCAAGTCCAAGGGCCTTTAAAACTGGTAATAACAGTTGAAACAGTTAAAACTATTGATACTTGTAGAAAAATAGTGCTTTCTTTTTGGCTTATGAAAAGTTAAAAATTGAAATGTAAACCCAGAAATATGGCTCGCTTTGGTATGAAAAACAAAACAAAAGGACACAAAGCTGTTAAAAAAACAAAACAAGAAAATCCTTCATGTTGTCCCTGGCCCTAGCACCATGAATAGATGCTCAACCCTGTCAAAGTCAGGTGGAGAAGGCCAGTGGGAAACTCTTTGGCTTGGAACTATTGGCTGAAGATGTCAGAGCAAACTACAAATAGCGCAGTCTACGCTTGGAAATGTTATGGCACTGTGGACATCCTGAACCTCACCGCAGCTTCATGGGGATGAGCCTGAGCAGCCAGCTGCGGATGCGCTCCACCGATTCCTCAGACTCCCTGTACATGGCCGCCAAGACCTCCCCGAAAGCCCAAAGCAGCAGCAGCCCCAGGCTCAGGAGCTCAAAGGTGAAGCAGTAGTCCTGAGCATTGTCCCTGACATGGTGGCCAGCAGCCTGTAGGAGTCCCTGCGTCCACCTAAGCAGGCTCTGGGGCAGGTCGAGCAGGCCTCTTGTCAGCCTGAGCGGCCAGCTCAGGGCCTTCCTAAAGAAGGAGGTGGAGATACCTGGGGGGCTGCCTTCTGGTGTGCTGATGGCCGCCACTGCACAAGAGCTTTCCGGGGGAGCATCCCTCCGAGGTGCTTCTGGCTCCTGCCATGTCCCTTCCTCCTGAGGGAGAGAGCAAAGCAATAGCACATGAGTCTCAGAGGCTGCCTCCAGCAGAGCAGACGGAGCCCGCCGGAGCCCGCCTTCATGGTTTTGAAGGTGGACACAGCTTGTTTTTAAGGAGGGAAAACTCACCATGCCATTCATTAACCTTCAAGATATGCGTGCCCTTCGACTTGCACGCCTCTACTGCACTGATATGTAGTACATAGATAATTAGAAATGGGGGTAAAGATTTGTATGCAAATACATTCATTATAAAAATCTTTGCAAGATTAAACGCCATAAAAGCCCAGCAGGATGGAACTGCTGAAACAGATCAGTGACTATGTGTAAAATGAAATATTTTAATAGTATTAAAAATCACACCCCCAACTCACAGCATTTAGGAGGCAGAGGCAGGTGGATCTCTGTGACTCAAAGGCCAGCCTGGGCTAACTATTGAGTTCCAGGCCAGTCAGGTTTACATAGTGAGATCTTGTTTCAATTAAAAAAGAAAATTTTATTCTTGGAATATCAACTCCCCTCTTTTCTCCTCTTCCTTTCCCCACCTTCTTCCCCTGCCTGAACTGCCCCCTACTTTTGCTGAGTTACAATGTGTCTAAGTTGCTTAGACAAATCAAATTCAAACCTTCCTGCGTCTACCTCCCAAGTGCTGAGATTATCCAGGGGCTGGAGAGATGGTACAGCGGTTTAAAACCCTGCCCTTTCAGAGGACCTGGGGATCCAACACCCTCTTCTGGTGTCCATGGCACCAGGCACACATGTGGTACACAGACATATATATATATATATAACACCCATATAGCATAAAATGGAAAAAAAAGAATTTCAATATCATGGAAAACTGGTCTTGATACCCTGTCAGCAAAGAAGAAGCCTAGAAAGCTATGGAGGTGGCATCTACTCTCTTAGGGAAACATCTGGGAGGAGGGACGCTGGACTACAATGTCACATGACCAGAATGTCAACTGGTCATATGTGATTTTATTGTCCTTGTTTTTATTTACCTTTTCATTTTCCTATAGCGAGGAGCCTATGAAAGCCCTTTAGGAAAGTTCAGGTTGTGGGTTTAAATTGGTGCTAGGTGATTGATTGAACTGGAGAGAAAGTATTTCCTAAGAGTTGCCAGAGGGGGGCGCTACCACAAACCATCGATAAGGCCAGTGACTGCTTTCAAAGCCTCGGAGGGGACCTGGAAACATGGCCTTCACCCTGCAAGCAGTTCCCCTTGGCTCCCAGGCATGGGGGGGGGGGAACCACAGGGCTTTTGTGCAGTTGCGTATACAGCCCAGTCTTTGCACATGAACAAGCATTTCTTAACTTCTCAGAGGGAGTCAGTACCTGTCAGGAAGCTGGAGTCTGAAACAGGGTCCACCGCAGAGGCTGCTGAGCAGACTAAGACAAAACACCACTCCAGAAGGGAATCAGGGGACTCTAACTTGTTCGGGAACGGTTTCTCTCCCTGCAGGGTTGTCTGCCTCTGAGATTGCCTTTGGAGACCTCATCAAGGGGGGATCTTCCCTGCTCTCCCAGTACCATTGAGACTCACATACCTCTCCTTGCTGTTTCAGCTCTGCCCGCCTCTTCCGTTGTTTGCTGTTGGTTTTACAGTGAATGAAATGGGGCTTGCAGTAGAACTTGCCTGTGAGAAAAGACACACGCACACATAGTTTTTCTCTACAGACAGGACCCCTGGAACAAATGCTCATACAATCACCAGGAAAATAAGCCCAACACGGTTCGGTTCGGAAGTGAGCAGGGGCTTATCCACTTGCCCTGAAATGGCTCCAAGATAAGGCAGGGACACTCTGTTGTCTCCCTCAGAGAAGGTGCCAGCAATGGGGGACTCCTTGAGTGGGGCTAAAACCCCCAGGTGGCTCCCCTTCCAAACAGAAGTCAGATTTCTTCACAAGGTCAGTTGTCAGGGAGAGAGAAGTGGTTCCACATGTGTCACCACTCAGGCCTTTTTTTCTGGAATCTTGAGGGTCAGGACAGCTGGCCCGTGATGAGAGAAGAGACTCAGATGGGGTACATGCCATGTAAGAACAGCACTGCCCAACACCACTGGGCACCTGTGAGAATAGCCCTGCTGCCTACTTCCACAGCAGTGACAATGGCGATGGTAATGATAACAATGATGATGATAATAGAAAAACCTAATAAATACTCCATATAACAACTCATCAACCCCCACATCCTATGGGCTAAGAGTTATTTTTTCTTTGTTTTGATCTTCTGAGGCAGTCTCTACAGGAGCCCAAGTTAGTCTGGAACTCAGGGTCTTACGGTCACGGCCTCTAGAATGCTGGGATCACTGTGCACAGCGTCTACCCAGGTCCTCTCATTCTCCACATTTTGCAGATGAGGAAGCTGAGGGGCCGTGGCTTTAAGTAACAGCCCCAGGTTATGAGGTGAGGAGGAGGAGGAGCCACTGCCCGAATTCACCCCGGGGGGGATAGTTTTAAGGCACGTAATCATAAGTACTGTGCCCTATTGCCCCACATTCTATACGACAGTATACAATAAATGGCTGATGGCCTGAAAGTGATCTCTTCGCTCGTGGAATGACTTTGCTGTTGAGCTCTGGTAGGTCACGTACCCAAAGAGGTGGTAACATCAAGGCCAGTTTTATAGTTCATTCTTTGTGTGTGTGTGCGCAGGTAGACACATGTACGTGTGTAGGTAGTTGTGTGTGTGTGAAGGGGTGGGTAAGAGCATAACATCAGCTATCGTTCTGCAGGCACTGTTTACCTCGGCTTTCTGCTTTTGTTTTGAGACGGGGTCTCTCACCGGAGCATACCAAGGAGGTGAGGCTGGCCAGCCAGAGAGTGCCTGTGTCGTCTCCCCAGGGCGGGGATTATGAACGTGCCAGAGAACGCATTGCTTCTCTTCTTATTTCCTTTCTCGTCATTTATTTTAAGACAACAATCTCACTGTGTAGACCAGGTTGGCCTCAAACCCCAGGGACCAACCTGTGGTCCTGTGCTGGCATGAAAGGTGTGCACCACCCCACCTGGCCACAATTTAAACAAAACAAAATAGGGGTTCTGGGGAGCAGACTCCCGTCTTCGTGGTTGCAAAGCAAGTGCTTAACTTCCTGGGCAGTCTCCCCAGCCTCATGTACTTTGTTAGTGTGCCAGCATTCACTAAGTTCTTATTACAGGCCAGGCATCATGCTGGGCACCTCACACAGTTTATCGAGTTGGATTATTTGGACTGCACAGTCACCATGGAGAGTGGCGGGGCTGAGTGGGATGGGCAAGAGCCCTCAGGGGACAGTAGGCGTTAACCTGCCTGGTGCTGCTGTGCCAGCTGTCTGCTCCCTACAGTGGCATCTCCTAGTCTCCCTGAGTAGCATTCCTGATGCTATCGTGCTCCCTGTTGGGAACTATTGGGTGTCTTAGAGCCTCCAGAGCATTGGAACCCCGGAGCAAGGCCACATCCGAGATGGAGGCCAGAGGCCAGTGCTGTCCCGACCCCCGGGGTTACCTTCGTTGCAGTCAAAGGCATAGGCAGCCAGGGGCAGGGTGGTGGTGCAGACGCTGCATCGGAAGCACTCCCGGTGGAAAAAGTGGCCCTCGGCGCTCAGCCGCTCCATCACATACACGCGCTTCTTACAGAAGTAGCAGATGTCGTTGCCGCCCAGGCTCAGGGGAAATGCCTTTCGCACGGATTCCTGGGGCCAGGAGAAAGAGCAACGTGCTAGGGCTGAGTAAGTCTCCAAAGGCCAGGCCTGGGCTTGTTAGGATTCTTAATCAGATGCCAGGGACTTCTGCATTCCTGGCTGCTGCTTACATCACTGCAAATAAGCATGGTGCAGGAAGACACTCTCCACACAGCCTCCTACAGCCCCCCACCCCCACCAGGCTGATTTAAATGAGTGGACGTCTTGCCTGAGTCTGTCTACCTAGTGCTGCTTTCTTGTGGTCTGTCCTAGAGGATAAGTGTCGCTGGGTACCACAGTGGTGATGTATGATGGTCAGTGTTAGTTGTCAACTTGACAGAGTCTAGTATCACCTGGGAGATTCCCCTTATGCCTGTGGTGGGAAGCCCCACCTGCTGTGAGTGATACCATTCTGTGGCTGGTAGCTTGGACTGAATAGCTGTTGCAGCAGTAAGCTGCATTTATCTCTCTCTACTTCCTGACTGTGGGTGCGGCTCGTCCAGGTGCTTCAAGCTCCCCTTTAATTTCCTTCCATGATGGACTGCGCTTTGAACTGTGAGATAAATCAACTCCCCTGAAGCTGTGTTTGTCAGGGTAGCTCCTCAGAGCAGCAGGAAAAGAAACCAAGACGAGGTCGGTTATATGTCTTCGGCCCCTGAGGTGATGGGGAGCAATCGAGGATTGGGTGTGACCTCAGATCCATTCAAGAGAGTGCAGAAAAGGGGTGCTTGTATCTCACGGTTCCCTCCCCACTTGCAATGGGGGAGGAAGAGCTGGAGCAGGCTGGTGCTGGCGATTTCAGGTCAGTGAACCCAAAGGAGAGCAAATCAACAGTCAGGGCACAGGGTTGCTAATGGCACCGTGCCACCTAGAACAAGGAGGGAGAGACCAGCGGGAAAACAGGCTCCCCTACTACTCCTGTCTCAGTTCCCAGGTCTGATTAGGTTGGACACTCAACACTGAAGGTGAAGGACTTGTCCAACAGCCCTGCAGAGCCTAGTGTCAGACAGATCCTGAAAGGCATGGATAGTAGGGAGCAAGCCTCGCTTGGAAAATGAACCACAAGGATCCAACTGAAGTTAGTCAGTCTTTGAGGAAATGTGGCTTCCCCCAACCTTCGCTGGATCCAGCCTTTCAGCACCCCCTTGGTCCCCATGAAGGGGTACCCTTCGGATGGAAGGATCTTCCATTACTCCTGCCCAGGAGGCGGGGCAAATATCTCCAGGTGGAGGCTGACAGTGCATGTCCTTACCAGGTCTGGAGAAGTGGCCTGTGTCTTAGGTCTGTGATCATTCAAGTACAGATTGACCAGAACTTCAGCTGCAGCCCCTATTCCGCTGGACACTTTCCCTACCGTCAGCTGGCCAAGAGCAGAGATGAGGAAACAGACAAAAGGAAAGGCAGTTAGCACCCAGCACCAACATACGGCAAGATGGAAGAGGGTTCCAGCCCATAGGAAAGCAGAACCCTAGCGTCTCCAGAGGTAAATCAGACCACCAGGAGTAGATGCCAGGCTTATAGAAATGATCAGAGGGAAAGAACCCAAAAGCTGGTGGTAGCAAAAGGGAAAAAAAAATGTCTATTTTTACTCCTGTGAGTTATACGGGGTTGTCAAATCACAGAGATATAGCGGGGGCAGTGACGCATGCCTGGTAGGACGCATGCCCACTCAGGAAGCTGGGGCAGAAGGATTGTTGTGAAGTTGAGGCCAGCCTGAGTGACATCGGGAAATCTATGACATAGTGAGGCCAGCCTGTACTAGAGAATTAGGGCCTGCCCCCAACTCAGAAACACAAAACAAAACGAAAACACTAATAAACACATGGACAATGGAATTAGAGCTGGGGGCTGGGGTGGAGTTTGTGCTTAATGTGTCTGGGTTTTTGTTTTCCAAGGTGCAACAGTCTACATTTTCCTAAGTGAGCAAAGCAAGTCCAGAAGCTCAGTGCTTTGTGCCACGCCTTTCAAGCAGTCTAGCGTGGAGCAGGGTCTTAGCCCTGCCCTGTAGCCTGCTTAGCAGCCAAGCACAGCTTCAAGGAAGACATCTCTCTAGAGGGATGGTTACAGCATCATTGAACAGCTCAAATAGGGAATGGAATGATCACACATCCAGGCCTGGCCAAGTCCTACTAATCTTCTTCCTTCCAGCAGCTCTGACAGACCACACTGTCTTTGTCTACTCTGACGGAGGTGAATAATGTATAGCCCAAGAGGCCAGAAGTACTGTCTCCAGTCCCCAGGCTCTTGAGGGAGGCTCCCAGACCTTGCTGCCTTCCAAAATTCAGTCTCTGAAAGGAGTGGCCCGAACTAGGGCTGCCAAGATTCTGGTTAAAGTTGCCTCAAATAACACTGAATCTTCTGTGATAAAACAATGCCTCCCATCCAAACCCAAGACTGCTCTTGGGAGCCATGTCTGATCTGGTTGTTACCAGACTTGAGAACAAAGCAGCCAGTCCAGGGAACTGGAAGCAAGCGTGGATTCCCAGCTGCCAGGGAGCAGAGCCACCCTAGCCCAGCATGTGAGGCTAACTCTTCAGATCCCAACAAAGCAGATATCTTGGGGTGAAGAGAAAGGAACCTGAGTAGGCAGGAGAGGAGAAGGCATCAGGGACTCTCCCAGCTCTGGTTGTTCTGGAAGCTATACCGCTAAGAGCAGTTTAGGATAGCCACTCCATATGAGGAGGGCTTTGGGGGACTGTCAGGAATATGGCTGCGGGCTGCTGGGGGAGAGGGGTTCTGCTCTCTCTGGTGTAGGGTGGGGTCTCCTCAGGCTGTCCAAAGCCTCCATGTCTTGATTTGTGAGCAGCTGCTGCCAGGCCAGGCACCCCCACCTCACCTTGTCCCTGCCTATAGGTCTAGCCTGTGAAAGATTAGAATTCTGACTTAATATATCTCTTCCCACTTTTAAGAACCTGTGCAAGCCGAGAAATCTGGCTCCTTCTTCCAGGAGGGTTCAGGTGTGCTGGCTCAGAACAATAAACCATTGTTTGTCTGATGTTCCATGCCCTGGTGGGGCCCCCGACTCTGCCTCTCAGATAGAGGGGCAAAACACAAGGTTTTCTTGAAAATAAAGTCGGGGGGTGGGGGGAGGCTAGCTTTCCCCCGGGCACAGCCTGCTCAGCCTCCTCTGATGTGAACTAGGCCCGCATCACTCTCCCAGAAAGGAGGCAAGGGCTGCCGTAACACCCGTGGTGGAGCCAAGATCAGCCTGTGCTGTCTGAGACCACTAACCCACGTCTCTAAGGAGACCTTATTGACTACTTAGTAATAAGCACTTCACGCCACTTGAACGTCTAAGCAATTCTGTCCTAGGGAGCGAAGCCTGCAGAGGGCTGTGAGGGTGCTGGGGGTGTTCCCCAAACACATTGGGATAGTCACAGCCTGTTCAGGTGTTCTAATCAGCCGTGGCAGCTGGGTGGGGAGTCGGGAGACAGTAATGTCTGAGGTGAAGACCACACCCAGTCTTTTCATTGTGAGTCAACTAAAGTTCGGAGTTGTCTCCTATCTGCCCTTCCTACCTGCAGGGAGCCATCCCAGATCACGGAGCCATAAATGGGATTTGCAGAGGTCATAAGGAACTCAAAGGATGAAGACTTGCCTCAATGGATGAGAAGGCTCTTGAAGCCTACTTAGGGCCAGCATGAAAGTGAATATTGCTCTGAAGATTTTGGGGGTTACCTTCCTTCTAAAAAATTATTTTAGATTTATTTATTTTATTATATGTGTATGAGGGTTTGCCTGCATATATGTAATATGTACCAGGTACATGCCTGGTGCCCTCTTAGAGGCCAGAAGAGAGCATCCGATCCCCTGGAACTGGGGTTACAGGTTGTGATGCCGCTGATGGTTGTGAGCCGCTGAGGGTTTTGAGAACTGAACCCAGGTCCTCAGCAAAAATATTAAGTGCTCTGGACTGGGCCACCTTTCCAGCTCATTCTCTCTATTTCTTGAGAGGAGGATGACTATAACCCGGACTGTGTCTAGGGGCCACATTTTCACCAGCTGGGGAGTTACCAGGTGGCCTGTCTTCTGAGAAATGATGAAATGCATAGCTTGTGGAGAGACTTTGGAAGAATTCATCCTGGGAGTGACCCCAGCAGGGAGCCACGGGGTTTCAGCAAGAAGATTTATATACACTGACTAGTGAGCCACATGTGTTTGTGGGGTGGGGGCTGGATGAGGGGAACAGTGGTAAGCTGTCTATGAAGAGTCCGTTTACATGTAAAATTGGACAATCTGAGGATTTAACAAAAAAACATTAAAAATTAGCAATTTATACCCTCCTGGAACTTATATGACTTCCACCAGTCTCATAATTCTCAAGAATTTGAATGTTTTTCACCATTTGCTGTTCCTTTTTCAGTCAAACTATTTTTCAGTGCACTCGTTAGCATGGGGAGTGGCAGAAGGCTGGCTAGCTGGGGCAGGCCATCATCTCGCATGACCTTTGACTAACCTCACACGTATTGTTTCTCTCCTGTGGATCTTAGTTCCCCCAAACTGTGAAATGGAAAGACACTCCCGAGTTTGCAGGGTTGTGGAAGCTTCCTAAAAGACCCCGGGTAGGGGCTGGAAATGTCGCTCCATCTTGAGAGCGCCTTACTCTTTCCGAGGACCAGGGTTTGGTTCCCACGTCAGATGACCTACGGCCTCCCGCAATTCCAGCACCAGGATCTACAGCCTTCTTCTGCAGGCACCCCACGCAGCACACATTTATATAGACACACACGGACACTGACACGTTAAAGACAAAAGACCTTGGGTGGAGCCTCACACAGTGCTGGGCACGCAGAGGTCGTCAGCAGGTAGCCAGGGAGACCGGAGCACGACCGCACATGTAGTGTCGAGTTCTGGTGTTTAGACGCACGCGTCCCTCTCTCCCACTTTCTCTCCCTCTCCACAGACAAGAATGACATGGCTTATGCTCCCTGAGATACTCGGGGTGCAAACATGGCGACACAGTCACAGGCGTCGAAGCCAGAGGCTGTGGGGGCGCTGCCCTTCCATGGAGTCTCCAGCTCAGGTCCCTGTCTATATGCGGGAGTCTTTCTCACACTGGACTGGGCTAGCTTAGCTGCTCCGCAGGTCTGCATCCCTGATATCAGTTATCTCATCTTAGCCATCTCTCTACCTCTAGCACAGCAGATATGATGCTCAATGGAGGAGGACGCAGGGCCCTTTGTGTCAAAAAAGTGGGATTTCTCCACATTGGGCTCAGGAGCCAGCTCACACAGCAGGGACCCAGGCAGCCTTTCTCTGCAGGTGAGCCACCTGTAGCCAGCAAGTTCTGAGTGTCAAGCAAGCCCACACAAGGCTTGAGAAGCAAGAATCAAGTTTCCCGGACTGGAGAGATGGCTTAGAGGTTAAGAGCACTGGCTGCTCTTCCAGAGGTCTTGAGTTCAATTCCCAGTAACCACATGGTGGTTCACAACCATCCATAATGAGATCTAGTGGCCTCTTCTGGCATTTAGGTGTATATGCAGACAGAACATTGTATACATAGTAGTAAATAAATCTTAAAAATAAAATCAAGTTTTTAGGGGTTTGGAGCTGAGGGCTTGTGAGAACAGGAAGATTCAATGAACAGAACCAAAATAGTCTTTTGGGTTGGTGGGGGGAGGAATCCCCCAATGGGGAACTCCTAGATAAGAAAACCACAGAGAGAGAACAAGCTGTTGGATCTGGTTCTTCATCTTCCTGCCCAAGGCAAGGAAACAGCAAGTTGCCAGCACTGCCTTCTTTGAGGACATTGGAAATGACATGCTCAGGGCCGAGGTGAGGCATGCCTGGAGGGCTGTGAGCTCCAGGGGGACTCTTCATTGGCCTAACTTCACCCCTGGTGACAGGCAAGCAAGGCTGATCATATATATCTAGTGCTCAGCGCTGTGGGTGGGTCTCGAAGCCCTTAGGACCCTAAGTCACCCAGGCCAGCATTTGTTCACAAGTGGCTAGGACAGAAAATGGAAACCCTTAACATGATTGCCAGTTTAGAGATACGCATTTTAGGCAAGTGAGCTTTCTTCTGGATGTCTCTTCTACTGGGAAAGGGAACATTTAGTCAGTACTTCAGGCATTTTGTGAATGTTGGATCACTGCACTGTTCTAACCACCCCGAGGAGTAGCTGGTATATCTCCAGCTTACGGGCTAAGAAACTAAGTCTCAGAGAGGCCCTTTACATTGTCCAAGGTCACACAATGAGCCAGTGGTACTCCAAGTGTGATTCTAAGCTAAGGTTCTCCTACTTAATAACACCTACTTCCCTAATACACACTAGCACTGGTACAGTCAAATCCCCATAGAGTGGGATGCACATCCGAAGTCCCACAGTGGTAGCCCTGGGACACAAGGACAATGCTAAGGATGGAGGAGGGGCCTTGAGATGTGCCCTAGCACCAGATAACACAAAACGGGTTGCCCAGCCAAAGCATGCCCACTGATACCATCTCTTTCTAATATGAAAATCCCAGAGTAAATCCTGCAACACTGGTCTTAACACAAACACCCAAGGCGTGGAGGAAGCTTGTCTTTCGGTGCTTGCCACTCTTCTGTCTCTGTCGGCTGGCTAAGCCGCAGCAAAGCAATCCTTGGCCCACCTGTGCAATCATTCATGACCATCTTGTTCCTGTAAGAGCATAACAACCTTGGCAAATGCCAGCAGCCAAAGAATGGACCAAACTGACATGACTTCCCTCTTTCAAAGAAAATAATGACTGGGTTATAGGGATTTGAAGTAAGACTGGACATGGAACCCATAGTACAAGGTTTTGATGCTGGCCGGTACAAAAGAGGGTGTCAGGATTCTGTGATCCTTCAGAAAAAACCCATAGGACCTAGCTGAACTTCAAAACAAAGCATCGTTTGAAAAGGTGGGCATAGGATGATGGCAGGGACCTGGCCACATCTCTTGGAGATGGTGACTCAAGTTTGCAGCCCAGGGGGTAATGTGAGATCTTCAGGGTAAGTTTGGCCAAATCTGCTCCCTTGCCCCATCTTAGACTCTCAGAGTTGGGGTACAAAGCTCCAAAGCCGGATCAAGGCATGCTGCCTGATAGGAAGCAAAACATAATTTGCCGCTATTTTTTCCTTCCTTGAGCTTCTGGGAATGCAGCCTCATGCTGGGCCATCAGAACACTTCCTCACCTGCTGGGAAGAAGTGCCCAGCTCCAGGGACTCTTCTTGGGAGAGACACCCTGGGCTCAAAACTGTTTATCAACAAACCAGCATCTCATGTAAGGGGCAGCCAGGTCTGTCCTCCGAGGAGGTCAGGATGATGGTTGACAGTGCATATGCAAAGCCTGAATTAAGTGCTGAATTAAGGCTGGAGAGTTAAGGGGGGGAAGGTTGGGCGGGGCAAGATCCTATCCATGAGGCTTGCACCTGAACTCTCATAAATCCATCCCCACCTGCCTAACCATGGATTCACAGTGAGACCCTCAGGGGTCTATGAGTGTGGACACAGGGAAACGGAAGCACGGAGATTCAGTCACTTACCCACCAGGCCAGGGTAGCGCCTTTTAAGATAAGAGCTCCCAGTTTTTCCCCAGCCACATTTGCAAGGCACATTGTCCTGTGGTTAACAAGCTGGAGACTTAAAGCCTCCTGATCACACACCCATCTCATGACCAAGGTTGGCCTGAGAGATGGAAAGGCAGAGCATCAAGCCCACAGAAACAAGGAACAAGCCAAAGGCGGGGCCCTCTCAAGGCCAACCTCACCCAGCCTCTCCCCAGGTATGGGGTCCTCCATGGACACTGTTTGTAGGCTGGTGCCTCTGACAGGGCTCCACACAAACCCCAGGATTCTCTTTAAACCTTTCTCTTCTCATCCGCCTGTGCCTCCGCTCAGTTCTCACAGTCACAGGACAGCCCTTCTTGCTCCTTCCACTTCCTGTTGCTCCGTGCCTCCAGCCTCCTTTCTCCCCGCTATTGCTCTAAGTCTTCCACAGACATTATAGTGTTATGCTGTGAACTACATGACTGACTTACATATCGCATTCATACTGGTTTTTCCTCCTCCTGTAGCATAGCCTCCTTAGTATAGGGACTTTGATGCATTGGTGCATACACCAAGAATCTCAAGTATCCGAACTGAGTTTATTAAATACTTGTTGAGTGAAGGTTCACTAACTAGAGAGACCTTTAAAATGTTAAAATGTGCTAAGAGCCCGATGGGAAAGGCCTTGGAAGGGGATAAGCTTACTCCTGACAAGTCTGTCAGACCCAGGTTCTGCCTCCTGCTGTGACTTGGAAGGCAGAGAGACCCTTCCGAGGGTAGAAGAAAATCAGGAACAAAGGGAGGACACAGAGAGGAAAGGCCTTGGCAAGCTCAGCTTTGAAGGGCACAGGAAGTGAAAGAGGGACTAGGCAGGAATAAGTAAGGTGGCTCTGTCATTTGCTTAGGTCAGATATGCCAAATATCAGCAACTGTACATATTAAATGTGTGACTATTCTTATGGTCCGCTGGTGTTATAGTAAGGGGTTCAAAGCTTCCCTTTATTTTCTCAGCATTGGTCAGGGCTTGGCATTAGAGTCCCTGATGAATACTTTCTGTGTGAGAGTAACGCTGACGATGCAGGCTGGGGCTGTCCTGCTAGTTAATGTGCTGACACAAAACCCAAAGTGGATCTAGGGCCGTTGTACAATATCTCACAAACTTCCATCCCAGCCAGGCCTAGCTCCAGATGTTTGGCTCTGCTGGCTAAATGGAGCCTGAGAACAACTCAGAACATGCAGGGGGCGGGGGGAGGCGATGATTCAGGGCGGCTACCTTTCTGGCAGGAGAAACAGAGTCGGCAGCCGGTGGAGAGGAAGAAGCAGCTGGATCAGGAGACGGAAGGCAAGAGGGAGGAGATGGAGGGTGAGTGCGAGGCAAACGCTTAGACAGGAGTTTATCCTGAATGGAACGGAGACAGAAGAAAGATAGTAGGATTATAGCTGTGGCAGGTGCTTTTGACATACCCGTGGGGGAGCAGACGCTGAGGGCTGTGTCTCAGGATGACACAGAAAGCGTGTCTTGGAGCCAAGTGGGATTACGTGGCTCCTGGCTACACTGCACTCTGCTTCAGTTCTGTCCCCCTGAAACACCCCAGGGAGGCCCATTCTGCTCCTGTATAGAGCTGACCCAGACTGCAGTGCTCAGTAGAAGTCCTCACGGAGGAGTTTGGTATGAGGGTGCAGCTGCAGGCTTTGGAGGGGAGAAGCCTGAGCCAGCCAGGGCAGCCTGCCACAGCTGGGGCTTCCGCAGCTGTAGGCACACTTGCTGGCCTCCTGGAGGCTGCTGGCACCCTGGCATTGAACTCAGTGCCGAACATTCCTCCTCCATGCGCGACTCCATTGACAGCTGCAGACACAGGAGGAGGCTGAGTGAAGGTGGCAGAGACTGCTTCAAGAGACAGCTTGCTCGAAGGAGGAGGATTTCACAAGTGTGTCCCACTCCCACTGCCAGAACCCTCACAGTTCCTGCTCTGTGAACACCTTTATTTTTCCACCAGTTCCTAAATAAGTAGGTGGCCTGGAGGAAGCTGTGCTTCCCAAGCTAAGGCACTCGCTTAGCACTGCTGTTTTGAGAGAGCTCAGACTGAGGCAGAGCTCTGCCTCATCATTCAGTGCCTCCCTCACTGAGGGGACAGGCTGTAACAGCACAATTGGCTCGCTCTCACCTTTAAGGCTCGTGTGTTCTGCAGTTGACCAGCAGTCTCCCTCTGTAGCAACTCTTAGGAATCTCAAAGTTCAGCTAGAAATTATTTAAGCACACATGTATCAAAGATGTGGCCCACAGGCTGCATGCGTGCTCTGATAACCATGTGACCAAGCATAGTTGTGTATAATAGCATCATCTCCCAAAGGCAAAAGACTGGACACCCTGGACTAGAGTTGTTTCGTTTGATTTAATGTTACTTAGTTTTGACTAAGGTTTCGATGTGTAGCCCTGGCTGACCTGGAGCTCACTGCGTAGACCAGGCTGTCCTCAAGCTCTCAGGGATGCCCCTGCCTCTGCCTCCTGAATGCTGGGATTAAAGGCGTGTGCCACTACACTCAGCCCAAGGTGGGAGGCAGGTCTTAAAACCCATGTTTTTCTGGGCTTCTTTCCACTTGGGCTTACTTTCCTGTCTCCATTTTCCTTTGTCGTAATGTGCCTACTATTTGAAAACTATGGACTTGGAGTCAAGATGATGCAAGCTCAAATTTATCAATGGCTTAAAAGTGAATTGCTTCTTGTGCTACAGAAAAGGAAGAGAAGAGCTAAGCCCCCATGGCTGTTCCATGGCTCCCTAGCTAGACATCCAGCCCTGGTTCCTGAAGATTCCAGAAGCCCCTGCTTTACCTGTGGTAAATCCCCGTGTCCAAACATGGAGGCCAGGTGAGCTGCCTTCTCTTTAATGTTCTTTTTGTGAAATTCCCTGTTAGCCAAGTTCTGGGCCCTCTTCTGCAGTCAAGGTGAGAAAGGAGAAAGATGGTGACAGCGGCCATGAGGATTGCCTCCAAGGGAGAGGGAAAGGAGTAACCCAGGCTTGTCTCCTCACGCATAGCAGACAAAAGATAGGGAGGAAAAGGGACCAGAGGGAGAGGGATGCACTCCGGATGGGATGAGGAGCAGTTAGGATGGGACACAGACACAGGTAGGCAGAGAGGACCGTCACCTGGAGGACCTTTTCTTCTACTTGCTGCAGCCGCCGCAGCACCCCTGACAGAGCCATGGCTCCTTGGCAGGTGCGAGGCAGGGTGGCGAGGTTTTCAGCCCCAATCAGTTGCAGGTCTGACTTGGCCCTGGCTCTCCAGGGCCTGCTTGTACCCTCGCCACTAGCAGGTACTTGATTGAGTTCTCTGAGCACCTGACCTGTTGCCACCATGGAGGGGAACTGGGAGAGAGGGGGAAGTCAGCTTCCTTCCCTTTATAGGCCCCACCCCTCATGAGGAGCCCCCATTAGGCCCTGAGATGGAGGGCAAAGCAGCAGGCGCCACCCTGAGACATGCCACATGTTCGCCTGGGGGGAGGAGCAGCTTCTGCAGCTGTGTTGGTATCCCCAGCACCCAGGGAGCAGTCCTGGGCCTCACCTAAGAGCCTCCAGTCAAACTGCGATAGACCTGGTTTCTATGCAGATCTCTATTCTGAGATCGCCTGGATGCCTTAAGGAAGGTCTGACCCATCCCATTAGGAGCTGTGACTGATCTGAGTATGTGTGAGTATTGGTATTGAATATGCGTGAGCATGCACTGGTATTCCTTAAATACCTTCTCACGGGATTAGTACCCACACAGACTCTGTATTAGACCTGGGCCCTACTGCTATCCAGCTCGGGTATGAGAGCAACACACAACACCCAGTACTCACCAGATGACCCTGGAATTTGTGGGAGCTCATCCAGACACTGTCCTGATTCCAAAGCCTGAGCTGGGATAAGCCACAGTCTCTCTATACAGGCTCTGGCCTGCTTCGGCAGGGCCTTTACCGTGTCTCAGCGTCACCTCTTCAGTGGGTGTGGCCCTGAGCTCCTCTAATACCATCCTTCTACTACTTTTCAGTAACTTAGAAATCAGCGTACTCACTAGCCCCTCTGTACTGAATCATAGCATGGGAAGTCCCCAAAGGGCCCACATGGAGTTATTTACTTTTCCTTCACACAACAGTGTCAAGAGCAGGCATGTTGGGCTGGGTAACACTTGTGGTGGTCTGAGGGACCAGCGGCATATACTTCAGGTGCTGCCTATGTGGTTGTTCTTATCCCCAAGGACAGTGACCCTGCAGGAATTCTACATTCAGCCATATTTGGGGGCTGGAGGGGGCCATGGATCCCACCCCTTGGCTCCAAGTCCCTTCCCTCTGGCTTTACCAAAATAGTATCCACTGGAAAAAGCCCTACCTGCCTTTTCAGAGGAGGTGGGAGCCTGGGAGTGGACTCCTCCAGCTTGGGGCATCGAGAGGGACCAGGAGGGCGAGAGGCAGAGCACAGGACGGGCTTACCTATGCCTGAGACACGGCAGCAGTCCTGCGAGAAGAAGGCAAGTGCACAGACGCAGCCCCGGGAGACAGGAAAGAAAAGGTGAGTGAGACTCAGGCATGCAGAGAGAGGAAAGCAGAAACAAGGAGTAGGAGCTGCAGTGTGCAGGGACAGAGCCGGGGCTGGCTAGGTTCCTGCAAGCCCCGCCCTGCTGGGAAACTGGATCCCTGGCTCTGCAGACATGTGGATGGACAAGCCCCGTGGTCCCCACTCCGGGACAACGTGTGAATCCCACAGGCCTTACTTTTGGCTCAAACACAGGGCTCTGGGCCATCAGTGCCAGCCTACACCACTCTAGCATGGCCAGTGCGGTCCTCTTGGAAACAGAGAGCTTCTTGCCCACTCCAGGACAAGGATGTCCAGGCCACACGGACAGAGCCCTTCCTAAACACTCCCGGGGGGCAGGACTCCAGAAGGGACTGTTGAAACTATGTTTAGACAAAGGCAGGACTCAAAAAGTCTACTCTTTTGTAACCAAGCCACATCCTGGGGAAAGTTAGTTATTCAGGAGAGGCGTGGCTCACCCCAAGGCCAAGGAGCCATTCATGTGTGCCTCTAAAGTTAAACAGTAAAGAGAGTGTCCCCACAAAGTGAGCCAAATTCTGTCATGGGACTGCTGTCCTCCATAGACAGAGGAAACCTGACCTCTGACATGTATCATAATATGACAACACGCATCCAAAGTCAAGTGAAGACAGTAACCAAGCTAGCTATGCGCACAGACCTCAAAGGAGTGAGCCAGAGAGGACTTTGCAGCCTGAACCACAGCAGCCAACCTGCCCTGGTCAGACACAGCAACCCTTCAGGGCCTGCTGGGGCATGGAGAGAGGAGATATAGCAGGGAACACTGGGGAGGTTGGTCAAGTCCTTGCTGTTAGCTTAGCACCTCTGGCAGGGGTACCTCCTTTCACCACAGACTTGAGCAGTGCTCTCCCACAAAGCCTCTCAACTTCGGTTGTCCCGTCTCACACTGGCTACAGATCATGGGTTGAGTGCAAAGCCAAACTGGGAAACGATTTAACTACTGCAAGATGAGCTCCAGCAAACCATGGCTTGCAGGCCTAATTCAGGAACCTGTTTGTGTAAACAGGTTTTACCAGAATGCCGTCACACTTAACTTGTTGAGGAATCCAGTGTGGAGGCTAGTGAACCCCAGGCCAATCTCTTAGCCAGCGGGATCCTGCCACCAGTAGGATAGGCCCAGTGGCCATGTGAGAGCCTTACCTGTTTCGTGGCTAAAGGGTTCTGTGTGTTCTCCTCAAACTTGGCTAACAGCTGATTGGCCATGGACTTGACTTTGTTCTGATTGCCACCTTCTTTAGAGTGCTCTTGAGTGGAGCCCAGGCTACGGCTGGAGAAGCCTGACAGCTGCAAAGGTTAAAACAGCATATTGGAATATAACCCAGCAGTTAAAAGTTTGACTTCTGACCGTCCCTTCCAGCCCTGGGACTTTGGCTATACATCCCTGAATTTGCCCCATCTGAAAAATGGGAGGAGTGTCACACTTCAAGAGGTGATTGCAAAAAAAAAAAAAAAAATTAGTTTTAATAGAGAAGTGTTACATAAAATAGTTTCCGAAATACATCATTTTGAGAAGTGAAGAGAGCATGTGTGTGTGGTGGGGAAGTCAGTTGGGCTATCATAAACACAGGCTTTGGGCGGGTTTTCTCTTCTCTGTACTCCCTTTCCCAACTTCACCCACAACTCCAATCTTGAAAAAAAAAAAAAACAATTCAGAAATAACTTTAGATTTACATAGAAGGTACAGAAAAGTACAGCTTGCTCTGGAGTCCCTTGCCCCCAGCTGCCTTTGATGCAGCTTCAGGAACTGTCACAGCACTGTTATCAAAGCTGGGGAACAGAGGAGGGCAGAAAGCTGTGAACTGGACCAGGGGCTCCCTCAATGTTTGGATTGCATCAGTTTTTCCCTTCCCACCCATCTTCTGTTCCAGGCTCCAATCCAGGATCCCACACACTTAGTCATCCTGTCTCCTTAGTCTCCTCGGATCTCTGGCAATTTCTCTATCTTCCTTGGGCGGTTAGCAGCCATTTCATAAAAAGATCTTCTGTCTGTGTTGGTCTGCTGTGCCGTCAGCATTAGCCTGGTCTGGAGGTTCTGAACACGCACAGCACAGGGGTGAAGGGCCCTTCACACCCATCCTATTGGGATGCAGGATGGTAGCAAGACTATGAGGAGTGATGACATCCTTGCTCACGACGGCTTAGAAAACTGAGTTCCTCCTCACTCTAACTATTAAATCTGAAAAACTCTAGTATTTCCTAATGTCTTCTCCTGTTCCTTGGAATCTTCTCCCACACACCTCAGGGCATAGAGAGACCAAGTGGATGGTCAGCCCTCTCAAGGAGACAGAGTCCTCCCCGTAGGAACAGCGTTCTGGAGACGGTAAAGATGCACTCATTCAGAAGAGGTGGGTGGGAAGATGCAAGCTAGGGGTGACTGTTTTTGAAATAAGCTCCCAAGGAGAAGCAGCTCAGGGGAGGCGGAGCGTATGCACATAGCACGCAAGTGATGGACAGACATGAAATGGGGAGCGACTCCTTGCTTTAGCGTATGAAGCGTGGCTTGCCCGTGAACCTGCAGGCTCAAGGGGGAGGTTGGAGTTTACCCGGTTTACACAAAACCAAAGTCAGCCAGCTCAGTGGCCCGCACAGTCACCAGTGCACCCCTGATCTCTCCGTTTTCAAAACCAGATTCGATTCATTGAGTCAGGGCTCCTGGGTCTGCATCATCTCTCTTTCATTTTCGTGTGTGTGTGTGTGTGTGTGTGTGTGACATGCACATTTTACAAAGTACAGCAATAATGCCTCTTCAGCCACACAGAAGGGGCACGTTTCTTGTTAAGTCCCGTGAAGCAAGCATCGGTGTAGCTCACAAGTCATCCCATGTGCCTCTGAGTCACTGTTGACATCAGCCAGTAGGCTAGCTAGAGTTGGCACCCACGTGCCTATGGCACAGGCATGCTTTCTTTTGCAGAAATAGGATGGCTTTGAAAAAGAAAGTGCAGGGCCAGGGAGATGGCTTTGTTGGTAAAACGACTAGTATACCAACGTGAAGACTCAGGTACCCCTAACACCCACACAAAAAGCTGGGTGTGCTGGCACATATACATAGCCATGCCACTGGGATATAACGACAGGCTGATTCCAGGGGCCCACGGGCCGGCCAGTCAAGCCTAATGGAGGATATTTCACTTCACTGTGAGACCCTACCTCAAAAAAAAAAAAGGTGGAGAGCAAACAGGAAAGATACTTGACCCTAATCTGCGACCCTCATATGCACACACATGTGTGACAACCTTCCAACAGGCACACACACACACACACACACACACACATGAAATGAAGTACATATCTTGCATGTCTTTAAATATATATATTTTTTAACAATTTGACAAGAATTCATACTCCCTTTCTGCTCTCATTTACAGAGGCAGGTTCTAGACTTTGACACCGTCTCCTACAGTTGTTTCCTTTCACCAGATGGTGGCACTCGCGGGCACCCAACATTTGTCTTAAAGACGACAGGTCCAGAAGAAGAAAAGCAGTAAAAAGTACAGAGGGCCTGCTGCTGTCCCTTTCCCACTTACTGTACTTAGTCATTCATTAACAATGAACTGTGGTATATAGAAAATCTATTGATCTAAACACCCTGCAAAGTTTCAACATTTTGGATGTACCAGCACATTGGAACAGCCATAGACCTCAAGCCAGGGAACGTTCTTCCTTTGGGGGTACACAGAGGGAAGAAACAAAGTGAGAATTAGAACCAGGGTTTATCAAACTGAGCCCAGTGGTATATGAGAGAGAGAGAAACACACACACACACACACACACACACACACACACACACGGGACCAGGGCTAGTAACATAGCTAAGCACACACAGAGAGACTGGTCCTCAGGACACCGGCCTTTGTGTCAGTTGAACCTACAAACACACACCTCTTCCAGGTTGTTGATGCCCTGCCTCCGCCTCTTGTTCATGTCGCTCTCTTCGGTCTGCGTGTCTACCTGCAATAGCCAAGAAGACATGGTGAGCTCAGGGCCGTGGGCACTGTTTGAACTGGAAGCACAGGAGCGGGGCATGCGTGTCTGGAAACAACTGTCAGCCTAAGAGTCAACATGGACAAGACGGCCCTGAACACAAGTGCTGCCATGGAGTTTTGGTCAGACACGGTAGGGAATCCCTACTCTGTCCTCAGAGTCCCTGCAACTCAGGCAGCGCAGGCATCATCTCTATTCCAGCGACCTCGGGCTCAGAGGCGTTTAATCATGTGCCTGAGGTCAGAGCCACGCCTGGGATGCCCTCTGTGTGTGCTGCCTTACGGAAGCCACCCGACTTTATTCCCGGAGGCCTCCTGTGACCGGCATGGGTTCACCAGCAGAGAGCAGTCTCAGGACTTGAGTGAGCCGTCCAGGGCTTTGGTGTCAAGTTAAACCTGCAATCCAGCTACCATTATAAGATTTAATTCATTTAAAATAATCATTAGATCCAACTTGAGGATTAGAGATCAAATGCCCAGGACAGTTCGGATTCACTGACTTCCTCATTCACTACAGCTATTCATAGACTCCTTCCCTTTCACAGCATATTACCGTGCTGTGCTGATAACCCCTCGCAGTACTCCTTGCTACCAGGACCTGAAGAATCTACTCAAGGCCTGTCAGGCTGGCCTAGGCAGATGAGGAGAGGTGTAAGGACTGAGCTCTCCCCTATGGCCTGGGGTAAGGCTGGAGGCTGAATGCAGCTTCTTCTCCACATACGTCTTTGATCCACAGTAGGTCTACTTCCTAAAGGTAGACACCTTAACTACCAGCTTCCAGTGTCTGGGACCTTCTCCCAGTGGCTGTTTGCTGTGGGAGTCTGGAGTTAAAACCCACATGCCTCACATCTGCATGGATTCTTCTAGCCTCTGGCTGCCTCTGTGGAAGGCAAATCCAGCCTTCCAGACACCAAAAATTCAGATAGAGGTGCCATAGTTTCACTGTAAACCATAACACCTATCCTGGCCATGGAAGGTGTCTGACTACTCTAAAATAGCAGGCTGGGGACCTAGCACAGAGTCTACTGTGCATTACTCAAGTCTAGTAAATACCCTCATTACACACACACACACACACACACACACACACACACACACGAGACTGCCATGTTCACCAGCTCCAAGAAAAAAAAAAAAACAACCACAGTTTAGTCATAGATATTTGTTCAAAATTTGACCAAGGCACCAACCATAAAACAACAGATCAAAGGGCCCTGCCCCCCCCATTTCCTTCAGCTTCTCAGAAACCACTGTTTTGTGAATGGAAATAATCTCAGAGCAAACACCAAAAGAAACAAATGACCTTATTTTCAACAAGGCTGGGTTTTAGAGACACAAGCTGCTTGGGCTCCCAGCTCCCCAGACTGTGACTGGCACTTAGGCCCAGAGACCAGAGCTGTGAAAGTACAGAATGTCCCATCAACAGAATGCTTCATGCACAATCCTAGGGCTTTCTTTGTATTTTTGTTTCCACTTTCAATGAGGATTTGGCTTTTCCCACAAAGAGCAATACGTACTGCTCTCTCCTTTATACTTGACAGCCCAGGGTGGGACTATTCAAACATCTGGGACCTGGCTAGATCCCATCTAGACTAATGTGACCTACGGGCTCACAGAATGCACTCCAGGAGGCGGGCCTTGTCAGCAGCTCCTAAGAAGATCCCAGATCCTTCTGGGAGAATAAATGAAGTGCAAGAAGGCAAGCTCTGCTTCTCAGCCGCCTCCACCATGACCCTGGGAAATAAAATACGGTCTACGTGGAAAGGTTAGCAAATGCATGCATCCAGACAATGCACTTTCTCCTTTGGAAAAGCGCTGTTGAGATGTAGGTCAAAACAAAAACCTAAGAAAACTAAAATGTACAGATCTATTTGTTTATTTTTCCCGCCTGGAAGCCAAACATTGCCTGAAGACCTCTAACCAGGGCCAGTTTCTTGAGTGGTGCAGCAATTGGTAAGTTGCTATGTCCCACTAAATACCCCTACCTATGCTCATGCAAGTGAGCCTAATTAAATCCAGTGGGACAGGAACAGAGACATGGACACACACACACACACACACACACACACACACACACAGAAACACACAGTGGGGGGGGGGAGTCAGAAGGGACCAACTGAGAGGAAGAGGGCCTTTTATGGGAATGGGGGTGTATGGGGGATAGATATGATAAAAATATATTATATACACATATGAAATTGTCAAAGAATAAATAAAAAATACCTTTTACCAAAAGCCCCTAATCACTGTGGACTTTATTATACTTGACAAAGAACCAGAAGCATACAGAAAAAGCAAATATTTCTCATGGCCAGGCAGAAGGAACATGAGAATAAACAAATGACTTTATCTTCCTATTAAATTTTCCAGTTCTTTCACCCTAGGAACTTTTCTTATCATGATTTTCCAAGGATTTGAAATAGTTGATGTGCCAAAAGCCATTTATTAAACCAAATGGTTTTCCTCTTTAAAAAATAACCAATAGTTCATATCTGCTAGCCTGATTATTAATCTGACTGGCAAAGAACAGCCATGTCCCCACACATCCTGAGTTGTTTGGCTCAACTTTATACTTAGTTATCTGGCTAGCCTAATTTTGGAGGAATTTAATTCTGGTTCATAGAAAGGATGGGTCAGTGTAGGTGATAGCCTGGTTGAGTTGGATGTCACTTTTAATATTTAAAATAAGGGCCAGCGGCACTAGCAAGAAAGCTTTTTCTTCAAGGAATCGTGGGTTCAAGTGCTACTCTCTGGCTAGTGACCATCGGAAAATCACCTAGCTACATTTCTCAAACACGTCATAAAGTATAAATTGCTACACAAGCGTTAAAATACTTTAAGTAACAGAATTTTAAACATCTGAATTCTAGTTTTTACTTTGATAGTGTCTATATCACTAAATACCTATTAAATTAAAATTTAATATCTCCAAGTCCAAGTTTCCCTAACCACTACCCTGGAAGGATATCATGTTCTTAACCTTCCTCCAAAGGATGGGTGGGTGGGTGTATGTATGGATGGGTGGGTGGTTTGGTGAGTACATGGGCGGATGAATTATGGATGGATGAATGGATGAGTGGGTGAGTAGATGAATGGATAGGTGGCTGGGTTGGTGGGTAGGTGGATAGATTAAGTGAGAAGTGGGTGGGCGAATGGATAGATGGGTGAGAGGGTGGGTAAACAGGCTGATGGATAGGTGGGTAGGTGGATGGATGGATGCATGGATAGGTGGATGAATAGATAGATGGGAGAATGGGTGGGTGGTTGGGTAGATAAATAGGTGGGTGGGTAGATGGATGAGTGGATAGGTGGATGGACTGAAGATGGCTAGATTGGTGGGTAGATAGATGGGTGGTGAGCAGATTAGATAGAAGAGGCACTTTTTAAAACTCCTTTGGCCCTCTGAAAAATAGTATCTGTGTAGAAAGATTAAGGCTTTAGAGCAGCATCTGGACTACTCTGATTACACACAGAAGAGTTATGCTTGTGTGAACTTCAACCCTACTTGGGACAAGTGCTGGAAGAGCAGTACCTAGATGAACAGGGAAACTCTCTGGGTTAGTTAGCTGACCTTTGGAATGGGCATTCTAGGGCAGGTGATGATTTCATTGGGTCTCCCAAGAAATGAGCCCAAGATGAGAGAATCACCAAGTATCCTCATGTGCAAATAATTTAACAAGGACAATGACTGACTTTAGTGTCCATAAAAAGAGGCATCAGCCATGGGTGGGAGGTTTAGGACAGTCCAAAGGAGCACAGATAAGAGCATGTACAGATTTGCGTGAGTACAGGATAGGCAAGAGGCAGAAAATGTGGATACAGATGACACCTACTTGCATGGTGATAACAGTTTAGGAACTCCCAAGAACTTTCATCCAATACTAAGAAGTATTTAGCTGCTCACCAAAATTACAGGCAGACTGTAGAAGCAGACCAAAGACTTCTAAAGAGGAAAATATGCCCAGTCTTCCTTTTCTAGGCATGGACTACCGTCTTGATTGCTTAGCAACCCCTAGTGAGTGAAATAATCTCCCTCAAAGCAAGCCTGCTTCCTAATGGAGAAAACATTTTCTATTTTGCTTGAAATTGGTATGTCTTGCTGAGATTTGAGTGTTGCCAGTAAGATAAGAGGAGAGAAGAAAGAAGCATTAAATCCTGAAAGAAAACCTGGAGGTAGAGAGATTATTAGGACTAGCTCAGCAGAGGACAGTGAATCCTCTAAAGAATAAGATGAAACACAGCGGAAGGACTGGACAGATGGACATGTTAGGATACTTCTTTGGAGACCAGGAGACATCAAGGAGAGACAGTGAGGAGTGCTGATTACAGATGCCCTTATCAAGGCTGTAGGCATTGTGGGGCAGATATGGGATAGAATGGTCCAGGCATGGTCTAACCTAAATCCATATTCCCTGAGGCTACACAAGTTCCCATGCTGGCGGGACATATGTCTGATTGTACCAATATCTGTGTGGCATCACAGAGGCGGAGCCACCACAGATGGATAAGATGTGTGTGTATGGTTCTCAGCATCTTGCGTGGGACCCAGCTTCTCACTAGCTCTCAGCTACCATCACTTCAGCATGTTCCATGCTGGATACATACAAAGGCCTTCTGATGAACGCGCAGTGCAGGGGGCAGGGCAATGGAGCATAACGCCATAGTTCGTGACCTTGGGCAAGCCACCTGGCCTCGGGCCCTGGCTTGTATCTGGAACTGTGAACATACTAAGCAAGGGTATTCCTGGCTTCTCTGGGCTACACTGGATGAAGCAGATGGTTTCATGTCACACGTTAAATTTAGAAGTGTCCAACCCGTGGCTTTGTAGGTTGGGAGAACACACATTTTTATTTTGTGTGATTGTGACACAATGATCTCATTTACAAAGTTCACACTTAAGAAACACATAATTAAGCTAGAAAAAAATTGCCATGAAAGGCTCATTAGCTAGGCATGACAGTGAATATGTCTAGTGCCAGTAGAAGGGGCAGAGGCAGGCAGATCCCTGTGAACTTGAGTCCAGCATCATCGACAAAGCGTGACCCTGTCTCAAAAAAAAAAAAAAAAAAAAAAAAAAAAAAAACCTTACCGTGTTTTAATTAAGTTCACGATTTTGTGTTCATAGCTATCCTGGGGTATACTACTACCTTCAGGCCACAGGTTGGATATCATGGATAAAATGATAATTATTCTTAAGACCTGTGGTTCCTGAACTGTGTAACTAAGTTCACCAGAGTGAACACAGAGAAATGACAGGACATAGTGATATCTGTCAAACATCTTGAAAAACACTGATTAAATAATTTAACTGCTTCAACAATAGAACCACAAGCTTGCTTTTCCTTGTCTGGCAACACTGTGAAGAAGTCACAAACATTAACAGTGCTATAAATCTGGAAGGTTCTAGAATCTCACTATGTCCTGAGCTTGTGCTGGTTAGTGTTTGTCAACTCTGGAGTCACAAACTAGAGTCACCCGGGAAGAGGGAACTTCAACTGAGGAAACATGACCAAAAGACTGGCCTAATGGAGCACAAGGCTGAGGGGCATTTTCTTGACTGGTTATTGATGGGCCCAAAACACTGTGGATGGTACCACCTCAGAGCAAAGCCATAGAGAGCGAACATTCCTCCATGGCTTCTTCTTTAGTTTTTGCCTCCAGATTCCTGCCCTGAGCTTCTGCTCTGGCTTCCTTTGATGACAGACTGTGACATGGATGTGTAAACTAAATAAACCCTCTCCTCCCCCAAGTTGGGTTGGTCAGTGTTTTATCACAACAGAGAAGCAAACCAGGATAGAACTCAAAGCCAAGAACACCACATTATTCACTTCTGTGTAATTGCTCCCATCATCAAAACAATTAAAAACCACAGCCTTAAAGTTAGTGGGGAATGAGGACTACTGAATGAAAAAATAATTTAATGAATGGAGATGTGAGAAAATAGACTACTACAATACCCTTGTCACTTAACCAAAATCTATCATATCCCTGAACTGAACTTTTTAGTAACATGAGAAATGAGCTTTTTTGTAACATGAGAAATGGGACAGAGCTAACCTGGGTTCAGTCTTTAAGCATGCGCCCACTGAGCTATGTGCATATCTTTTGAGTCTTGATCTATGTAATTTATCAACATAAACAAACTTGGACATGAAATTCTGCCTCCTCTTCCCCCATAACCTGCAGTGAGGAAAAAAACCAGACCAAACCAAACAAAACAAAGACCAGTCTGAAACTTACCCGTGGGGTTCTCTTCCTGGGAAATGTGAGGTTAAGATAGTTGTTTGGAATGAATGATTTGCCCAAGCCAAAGTCCGCATTTTCTCCATAGTTTTTACGCCAGGAATCTGTTGAGAAGTAAAGACAACATTGAAGTTGGGATCCAGGATCCAGGTGGTGATGTAACCTGTAGAACTCTCCGAGAATAAGCCCCTCACCCTGACCTTTTTAAAGCCTTGAGTGGATGAGGGGGGTGGGGAGGCCACTACATCTTTTCAAGGGTCACCATCGTTTGGCCTCTGAGTCAGAGGGAAGGTGCCTGTTTGCTGCAGAGTGGTCAGCATCAGCCAGATTTGGGCTGGAGGGCAGGGATAACACTAGAGTCTAGGCACAGTCTCCATGCTTACCCATAGGTCGCAGTGGGGTGCCCCGGAAGAGCTCATAGAACTTGGAGAGGTACATGACCATGCTGAGCTTGTCTGGCTCCTGGGTAGATGCCATCTCTTTGCCTGTGGTCACAGGCAGGATCCCAAACTCACGCTTGGCCACATCAAATGCCAGTTGATTGTTCTCCACAGTATCATCTTCATTCAGTGAGTCAAAGTTGCTGGAGGATCAAATACCAGGGCAAGTTCAGGGCGAGATAGGATGAACTGAGCCCATAAGGAGTACCGTGGGCTGATGATTTTTCCATCCCCACTGAGCTCCAACCTCAAGCTCAGGAACATGCCTCAACCATGAAGGAACTGAATCAGAAACAGGCTATGAGCACATCACTGACCTAGGCTGAAACCATCAGAAGATAGTTACCCTCTTTAGAACCGTAGGAGTTACCGTAATTACTCTTCTTATTCATTTTTCATTTTAATTGCTATGGTAACAGGAGCTTTTCTCAAACCAATTCATGTGGAGATGAGAGTCCCATCTCCTCCTGGCTAGCTGGTAGCTTTCCATCCATCTTTTAGGAAAGGTTTGTATGTGTGGGGGTCTGTGCTACTCAGCATGTCAATAGGTATTGTTCTCTGCACACCACGAAGGGTTTCCAGAATGTCATCTGACCTTCCAGTTGACCCTGCCATTTTGCCCACATTCAAAGCAGCTCTAGAGGGTTCCAAAAATGACCTGACGAATCTGGGTGTCAAAAATTGCTGCTTTGGCTGAGTTAGGTCTCTCTTCTACTTCCTCTCCTGGGTGTGTGTGTGGGGGGGCTTTGAGACCTATGCTAAAATTTCCCAAGTGTGGCTACTATGGTTGGGGGGGGGGTCAAGGCAGGTTAGACACAACCAATGGTCTATACCAGGGACACTGAGCAAACATGCTTCTGTCAAACAAGGGAAAAGCAAGATTTAGGAAGCAACCCAATAGGAACTTGTAGAAAGAAATGCTGAGCTTGACTGGGGGAGGGGTGTCTTCAACCAGAGAAGGCTGGGGTCCCTTATGTTCAGGTCCACACTCACATCAGCTCTGGCCGGAAGCGGTGGATGATGGCACACAGGGCCAAGCCGCTGCGCCAGGATGTGGTCAGGTCGGTGACCCTGACGTGCTGGTATCCCTCGGTCTGCTGCTGGCACCAGGTCAAGAGCTTGTTAGGTCGTATGTCTGACTCTGTGGGGGAGAATACGGGTGGTGACACTCTGTAGAAATTTCAGGTGGTTCAGCCTGACCTTCAATCCCGCTGCCATCAGGGCTGAGAACCAGGAAGAGTGCACGGCATAGATGCAACCCTGGTCAACAGGAAGCATACCACCTAACAGCACTGTCCCTGTAGACTATGGCCAGGTCCAGGGTTGGAGGCTAAGAACACAGACTCTGCCTCTCCTGGGAGACACCAATGTCATGGAACTGTCGTGGATAGAGGAGCTCATGACCAGGTTTGTTGCAAGCTGGTCCATGGAGAAGAACTCTCTAAAGAAAGTGTCTGGGGATGTGTACTTCAGCTGGATATTGAAAGTGTTTCTGAATTCCTTAGACAGACGCATCGCAGGAAAACAGCTGGAGTGACAGCCAAGGATGTGGAGGGCCTGCCACGCTTGTGCAACAGTAAAAGTTTACTGCTGCAAACAGGGTTTTACAGCTGGGCATGCGGTGCACACAGGGAGGGGAGGGAGAGGCCTGACAGACAAGAGGTAGCTGGAGTGTCTCTCTCCTAGGAGAGGGGAGAGAAGCTGGCTGCTGGGGAGTTCCTCATTGAACCATCACTCCCCTGCCTCTGAGCAAACACTCTGTGCCCAGTGTTGGAGATCAGAAGAGGGGTGACGGCTTGAGGGGTGACGGTTCAGGAATCTGTTGTCTAGATGGGGAGATAGGACACTCACCCCAGAAACAAGAGGCAAAGAAAAAAACCAGCCCTGTGGAACTCCCTACAGTGGACTTTCTTGTGCTAATTGCTTGGCAGGTAACTGCTTGTCTTAACTCTGAGAATCCTGTCTTGCTCTTATGGATGAGGAAGCTGAACGACAAAGAGGAGAGGCACCTGTGCAGGTCACACAGGTAATGGGGCAGAGCCAAGCTGTGGGTCTGAGCACGCACCATCCCCTGCACACCTTGTCCCAGGGTTCCAGAAGGGCAACTTACCCCGCCTAGAGAGGCTGACAGATCTCCCTCCTGAGCCCCATCTCTCCAGAGGGAAGCGGTCCAGCTCCTTTGTAATGTACAAATGCTTCACCTAGGAACAGAAAAAGACCACATATCTGCCCACCAGTTCCCAGATCCTGTGCTTAAGCCTCTCTCTGCCCCATACCAGATCCTAACTGATAGTACTGTCTTCAGGTGTTGGCTGGCATGACTTTCAGCAGGGCATCCAGACGACTGACTCACAGACAACAGGCCTCAACTCTCCTCCCAGATGTGGGAGAACTGACCGTGAATGTCTAATTGGCTAATAAAAGCCGGTACTACTCTCTGCCCTATTAATTGAAGAGGGTAGGGGTTGGGTGGATAAACTCCCCAGGATAAATGACATTCAGGCCCAAGCATGGTAAGGAAGAGAGAGATATCTAGGTAATCGAATTATTTTGAAGAGAGAGATATAATAAGTGTCACGTTTGCACAGTGACAAATTAACACATGGAAATATATGCAAACATGCAAATGAACACAGACACGTCCAGCACCATGCGTGTGCTAGTTTCCTCCTATAGGCTATAAAGAATGCTGTCTCTATTGTATCTATGAAAAGAATTGATTCCACCCTTGGGCTGGCAAGCTTTGGTGGCCTCAGTCCCAGGGAAGTGAAAATGAGACCATTTCTTTTCCTCAGGTCACTGCAGGGGCTTAAGACAGGCTTGGAGCGAGCTTACCTGTTGAGGTCTGACGCAGTGCAAGTTCAGGTTTGGGTACCGTGTGGCTGGGTCCAATGTGTACTGCTCAAAATTTTTGTTGATGTTCTCTGGGGTTGTCTGAGGTAACAGCCGGTAGAGACTCTCTCTGCAGGGAGGCAGAGCTCAAAGGTCAGGGGTTGCTTTTGCCACCTCAGGCCCTCATACCTACACTCCTCTCTTCCCAGGCCTCCTTGACTGTGTTTGTATAATCCTGCCCTGTGGTGTCTGACATACTTCTGAGAACTGGAGAATGTGGCAAGGGATAAAAAGGGGGAGAGAGAAAAAGAGCACCCAGGTGGTGGGGGTGTAGCCTCCCTCCATGGGCAGGAGGCAGGAATGCAGGGCCAGCATCTCAGTAGCCTCTGGTTCAGCTGAAGCCACCACCCAGCTCCTGTGGCCTGCACCTGTGGCTGAAGTGGCTGTCAAAAGCCTGTCTTCCATATCAGCACTAACTCTCCTAGTCAGTCATCTGTTCATGGTCTTATGGCCAGAGCAAGGTCCTGTAGGAAGAGCCTGCAAGGTCACAGAACCCAGGACCCAGTGACCAGGACAAGTCTCTGTGCGATGTCCTTGAAGACATCCTTAAATAAACCTCTTGGGTCTTGTGTGGATGAGACAGGACTGGCCTATGTCAAGAATTGTCACTACTGTTGGGGCCTAAGACACCGGACACAGAGAAACCCACTGAAGGATATGAATCATGACACAGAGTATCCTAGGAGACCCTCTGATCACTTCAGGACACACAAGGCAAGGCAGATAAGCTCAAAGCAGAGGCTTCTGAACATCCGCCTTGGCTCTACTCCTGCCCTAGCCTTCTGCCCAGCAGCCCCCAGTTATGAGCTCTGCTTGTGAGCCTCACCTTTCAGCTAGCACCTCCAAGGGAGGGGTGCCCTGGTACCAGCTCTTCACCATCCATGCTGTGTCAAAGGCTGCCAGGAAGCCTCGGGCACAGCCTGTGCCCATGGGCCAAAATGGCTGTAACAGAACACATGTAAAATTCCCACCGACTCTGATGACTTCTGGTCTTCTCTCAATTCTATCTGGCACTGTCTGACTGCCAGCTCTGAGCCAGGCAAGGGCTGCCCACAACTTACCAGAGCCATGGGCAGCTGTGGTAGTAATGTGAAATGTTTTAATGGCCCCACAGGTAGTGAAGCTACCTGGTGGCTCTGGAAGGGGGAGAATGGAACCAGGGAATGCTTACTGAAAGTATGGCCTTTATGCTCATTGTAGAGTATGGGGTAGGATTCTGATCTCTTTCCATTTGGGAAGATTAGGGGCAAAGGCTTTGTGGTTGGAAAATGCTGGAGCCTACCTGAGCACTTAGCACAGGAGGAGTATGATGAAGGGAGGGTCAGGAGGGAGACAGGGCTAGAAGCGGTGAGCCACAATTAAGGGTTAACAAGCACTGATCTGGTCACACCACGGGTAACAGTCCACCCCATGGTGGACCCAAAGCCAGGTCTGCAACCTGTCTCTCAGCCTTGGATAATACTGCAGACCCTGTCAGCATTCACATTTAGATCAGATGCTAACCCCCAAATGGCTATTTACCTAAGGATCCTTGCACTTATGGGAATGAGAGGGAAAGCCATGACTATAACCCTACACTTTGAAAACCCCTGTCCTCCTGCACACTCTGGAAGAAGGCCTACACGGAAAGGCCACACAGGACCAGCTACATGGGCAACAGGTCCCAGCCCTACTTTGGAGTCTACATGTTCTGAGGAGGACAGTCTTGGGCTCCAGACCAGGGCTGGTTAATTTTATTCTTCAATCTAGAAGCAGCTCAGAAGAAGCTGGAAATGGGGGAGAAAAAAGGCTTCTGCTATAAGCAAGCTCACAAATCTCAGAATTCAGCCAAAAGGGCTAGCTCCCAGGCCAAGATGACCTTGGCAGAGGTCTGCCCATTGTCTGAGAACCTGCCCTTCCCTGGGATGTGGGCAGCGGAGACTACCAGCCTGAGTGCAGATGTGTGGATCTGAACTGCAGCAGGAACTGAGGGCTCTAAGGGCAGGGAGTACCTCAAGCAAGCTGTCACCCACGAGGGCCACGAGCAGTTGGTGAGACTGGCGCTCACGCATCAGGGCTGCGTTCTCCGAGGCATACATGGAGGTGAAGTCAAACATGGCCACATCTGGCTGCCCGTTGTGATTCATGGCAAAGTCTAGGGATGGCAGCTGGTAATTGGTGGCGAAGTCCGCGGCTTCGCGGGCGTAGGAGAGCAGGTTGTCCTGGTTCACGTTCTCTGTACACAGCAACATCTCGGTGTCAATGTAGTCCTGGGGAAGATCAAGACATCCGTCAAGACCTCCCTCCTTGCCAAAGGGCTAGATTCACAACCCATTTAGGCAAAAGGGTCTTCACTACTACTCAAAACAGGAGTAGAGGGGCTGGGAGATGAATCGGTCTGTAGAGCATTTGCTGTGCAAATATGGGAAGCTGAGTTCAAACCCTGGAAGCCTCAGAGAAATCCAGGCAGAACAGTGTGTGGTTATGGTCTCAGTCCTGGGGAGCAGAGACAGAAAGCTCCCTGGGAGTTCTTTGCTAGCCTGCCTAGCCTAATCGGTGACTTTCAGGTCAGGGAGAGCCCTTGTCTAAAAAAAACAAGATGACAGATGGCTTCCGAGGAATCACTCCTGAAGCTGACCTCTGACCTCCATAGAGATGCACTCATGTGCATGTGTATCTGTAGAGGTATGTGCACAAACACATACACACTTGTATGCACGCACATATGTGTGTGTGTGTGTGTGTGTGTGTGTGTGTGTGTGTGTGTGGTGTGCATTTTCAAAACAAAACTAGAAAGCCGGAGTCAAGGAAAGAAACACATGGCCCAGCCATGGCGATTAGCATGGTTGTGATTAAGCACCCAATTGGCTTTGGGCTTCTTGGCATCCAAGGCAAAGGGGAAATGTGATATGGGCTTTCCTTATCAGAAAATGAGGCATAGCAATCCCTCAGGGGAGGCAAACTTTTCCTGGCACCGAGTGCTGAAAGATCTGTCTCCTGTGGGAATTTAGATGGAGGACACTGGGAGCTGTAATCAACAGTGCACTTGATAACAGCCTCCCGGCAAACAGGGAGCACATCGCCCTTTGCACATTGCAATAATCTCAAGTGCAATTAAGAGCCAGTAAACGTGATTTAATCATGGATGGAGTTAAGTTACTAGGGTCCAGATATGCTGTGGCTAGTGGTCAAACAAGATCGGAAAAAAAAATGGGATGCTGTGCCCGGCGCATAGGAGCCCCCGGGGGATGAAATGGCTTTACTAATTCATACTGCTATGAATAGCGGTATATGCCGAAATGTAAAGTGCCAGTATGAGAGGTCTCAAGACATGCAGCCTCCTTTGTGAGCAGAGTGACCTTCTGTTTCCATTTCCTGGGGAGCTATGATTTCAAATGCTCTGTCTTGTACCCAGATTGTACCCAGGATTCACCCATGAGAAGTCTGGAGAAGGCACCTCAGCAGGTACACCTGAGGGAAGAAGAGGGCATCATAGTGCCAGACTGACCAGCTAGCAGTGAGCTGGCAGACATGGAAGCCCAGCCTGTGTGTGTGGGGGGGAGTGAGGCTAGTTTCACCTGGTTACTCACGCTTCCAGGCCAGATGCCAGCACAAGCTGGTGAGGACATAGGCACACTGTACCCTGGCAAGCAACAATGAGTAGTCCCAGGCCAGGCTGGGACCCAGAGGCAGCTGACCTGAGGCTGCAGGATCCTCATCTTGAAGCAATGAGCACAGGAGCTCTGGAAGGGTGGGGCCTGAACAAAGTGCTCATCCTCCCCACCTCCTCTTGTTTATTTCTATTTATCCATATGTGTGAGTCTATGTAAGCATACGGCGCCTGCATGCAGTGCCTGGAGAGATCAGAAGAGGGCATTGGATTTCCTGAAACTGGAGTGATAGGAGGTTGGAGCCTCCTGATATAGGTGATAGTGACCAAACTTGGGTCCTCTGGAGGAACAGCAAGTGCTCTTAACCTTTAAGTGCCATCTCTCTGGTGCCATCTTGTTTTCTCTTTATACTTGATGATACATGCTCCGCCTGGGGCACATACCTGCAATCTCAGCTCAAGAGGATGGAGAGTTTGGTTTATACAGCAAGACATTAAGTAGCTCAGAACAAAAATAAATAAATAAAACAAGAAGCGACGGAGAAAAATTGAGGAGCCAACAAGACAGAAGAACAAGTGTCCAAACAAGGCTGAGTGTGGAAGAACCTTGAAAGCCACTATCTACACACGATGTGTACATGTGCCTGTATACAAATGTGTACGTGTTTTTCATGCAGACTCCCCCCAAAGTCGTATCTTAAGAGCTCTTTTTAGACTGGAATTATTGAACTTTGTAGGCATAAGTCTGAGATTCAGAAAAACAACATCTTGGCTACCATCCTGAGTTGGCTCATGAAAGAGTCTCTGCTTATCTCTGACAGCACATACAAGTGGATGCTCCCCCACTGCAAAGGGACACAGGGTAAGACTCCTGAGTGATGGCATCTCCATGTTCCACAAGGACAAGAAGTTCCCATCTCCAAGTGAATGTGACCTCTAGAGAAGGAGTGGGGCCAAGGGAATGGCATTTGAGGAAGAAAAAGCTTCAGCTGATGATATTCGGGGCACATCTGGGCAAAGGTCCCTCATCACAACATGTCTGAAACATATAATGTGGCTGGGCAGTCTCACAAGGCCAAAGGCAAGGAAGGTGGCAGGCTGTCTCTTCCCCCTTGCATGGATTCTAGCAGGACGCTCTCTTCTCCCACATCTGCCGATGCTGCCAGTTCATTTTGCCCAGGGGAAGACAAGTAAGGAACCACAGCCCACAGGTACATACATTAATGATGACACCTTTGTCCAGCAGGCTCTGCTTCTTGGCTGTCATGACAAAGTAGTGGGTGCAGTCCCTGTAGTAAACAATGTTCTCGAGATCAATCCCTGAAAGGAGAAACATTCAGACTCAGTTTACCAATCTGCACCTTGCTCCATTCCAGGTCTCATTATGTACATGTCAAAGAGGCATGTAAAATAAACAGTGAAGACATACCAGGCTGTGGAAGGCAGAAGAGAGGGCCAAAGCCACCCAGGTCAAGGTGGGTAGCTTTTATGGCTGCACAAAGACATGCTCAAACACAAAACTACCAAATGACATACAACAACCACAGCTGTCCAGTATTCCTAAGAAAGTGTTAGAGGAAGTGCTGGACGGGACCAGGATGCTAAGCAAAAACCAACTTTGAACCCAACTGCATGGCTCAGGCCTCAGCCATGGTGTGCCCTACAGATCTCTACCATGTCCTAGCTTGCATGAGAAAACCCAGGTCAACGGAACAACAGCTCGAGGTTAGAGGCCTAGATTGCACCATGGTGTGTGTGTGTGTGTGCCTGTGTGTAGGCCAGAAGACAACGTCAGGTATTATTTTTCAGGTGCTACCCTTCTTGAGACAGGGTCTACCATTGACCCAAAGCTCAGCAACTAGACTAGACTGGCCACACAGTAAGCCTTAGGGGTGCTACTGTTTCTACACCCCAGAGCTGGATTACAAACATTCACCACCATGCCCAACACTTTCATGTGGTTCCTGGGAATTGAATTCAGATCCTCAATGGATCCATCTCCCCAGCCCTAGACCTCATCGTTTGTCCTTTCCATGGATAGCAAAACATTCATACATTAGGTTTCTGCACTTAAAATCATGCTATGAGATGATTGCTCAGTTCTCTGTTCTCCAGGGGATGCAGGGAAGCTCAGCCAGAGCCACTGACTTCACCTAAATGCTTAGTAGACAGTTAAGTTGTTAGGGCTGCTGAGTTAGACACAGGGGGTAGGGCCAGAACCCTAAGTATTAAGCTCCCTAGGTGACTCAGATGTTCATTGGCGCCCCAGACCCTCTGGCTCAGCTTATGTGAAGGAAAATAACAGGCACACAGTGACCTCAAAGCATCTACACAAGGTGTGCTGGGTAACCATAGCAACACCTTTATTATTACAGTAAAATAGGAAACGGCCAGGCATGCAGAGGGCCCCCAAGAGAATCAAAGGAAATTTATTGCTGTCACTGATGTGAGATAATGACTTATGGAGGCAACAGCAGCCAAGTTTAAAGGAAGCTCGTGAAACCTTTGGAGAAACACACGCAATGTCCTGTTATAACCCCTATTTGATGGTTTGGGTATTTATTTTCTTTGCTTCTAAGGGGAAGGAAGGGCTGGAGAATTAAGTATTAAATCATTCAAAGGATATTATACTCTGAAAAGGAAATATCAAAACTTGTAATAATAAATTGTGGAGGCTCAGAGGGACATAAGATGGCAGATACCACCGTGGCCAGCAAGAGGCAGAGACTGGCTCAGCAACTTAGCCAGTTCCTAGAAGCTGAGCCTTATAGGAAATGGTTCCATGGAAAGTGTTACCCTGACAGGAGACTCACGGAAGGTAGAGATCAGAGGCCAGGGTCTTAAGTGAACATGTGTGTCTTTTGGGTTACATGGTCTCTGTTACAAACATTCATAGCGGAACCAGCCATAGACAAGACTGTGAATGCATGTCCACAGCTGTGTTGTGAAATCAAAGCCCTTGCTAAAGGACCTTGAAACCTGAATGTCCTATCATCCCAGTGTATCATGAAGCCTGATCTTTTTGATCCCCTTCCTTTGGCCCCTTGAATACAGAAAACCACTCCCATCTCAAAGGCAATACCAAGAGTTATGTGGTCATCCACAGTCCTCAGGCTTGGATGCCAAGAGATGCCACAGGCTCCCAGACCTACCACAAGGACTACATTAAAGATGTGATGTTGAATGAGAAAATGAGAGACATGGGCAATATTTAAAATGTGCTAAGGAAGGGAGAAGGGAAAGGATGGCTGTGTTGATGAGAAGTGGACCCACGTGAAGCCAGTGTGTAGGTGCACTGTCGGTAGACGAGGGGCAGACTGGTCGGTCGGACAGTTATCGATGGCAGACTTTCACCCTTTCTTAGACCAGGGCTCCTAAGTTTGAGGCTGGCCTCAAATTTTCTAGGTAACTGGTGCTAGTCTTGAAAGCTGATCTTCCTGCCCCCACCTTCCAAGTGCTGGGATTACAGCACGTGTGGCTGTGCCTGGCGAGGCTTATTTTAACATTACCATTGTACCGGCTTTTCAAGGAACAATGTGCATTTTCGGGCAGGTTACAAAAAGGCCAGTTCCTCTTTGTTTCTGCTCTACTCTCGTGGGCGATTGCTGTTCGTTTACTAGCTATCTGGCCACGTAGGATTAAGTCTTGGTTTGCTGATCTGCCTCAGGCTGTAAGCCCAGTATTTGGAACGCAGCATGTATTCAAAAGAGTATCTGCTACGCTGTCGAATCAATACCTTCTGTTCTATAGACCCATGGTTAGGTGACAACTGCTGCCAGCACATGGTGGGGAGGGGGCGGAGTCCTTGTCTTATCTCACAGGGAGGGGCAGCTGATGTGCCACACAGGGTCCTCCCCTCCTCAGACTGTCCCCAGCATGTCATGCTGACCTTGGACACAGCCTTCCTGACTACCCTGTGTTCCACTGGAAGCCAGCAGGCCTGTGAACAATTTAGAAATCTTGGACTGGGGACTGGGGAGATGGCTTAATCAGAAAAATGTATGTTCCGCAAGTACTGCAGAATGGGATTTGATCCCCAGAATCCATGAGGTCTGGGAAGGCAGGCATGGTATTGTAACCCAGTGCTGGGAGCTGGACACAGATCCCTGGGGCTCACTGGCCATTTAACCTAGCCTACCTGCGTGTTAGACCTAGGAGAGGCCTTTTCCCAAAAATAAATAAATAAACAAACAAATAGTGGATAGCATCTAAAGAATGACACTAGAGGTTATCCTCTGGCCATTACTCATGTACACGTACACACACACACACACACACATACACACACACACACTCTCACAGAAACTGTGACTAGGGTCTGGTTTAGAGAAGTGGGGCTCCCACCTGTTTCTTCCTTCAGGTCCTGAAAGAACTTCTGGTTAAAGATGAAGGCCACACCACTGATCTCCTCTACCTTAGCCTCAGCTGTGCTGTTCCTGTTTATGAAGTTGGCAGTGATGGCGATGGCCAGCTTCCCTCGGAACTCTTTTCTTCTGAACCCTGTGGAAGGGAAAGTTGAGGAGGTCAGCGCTCTAGGTTGGGTGGGAATTCAGACAACATTGCTGAGGATACTTTTCTCAGTGCCCACAGACCACGGGGATGGGGTCTCTGGAGCAGGTAGGTACCAGGCTCAGTCTTTTGCAGATGTGCTGGGAATGTCACTGAACACACTCTTAAGGCCCGTCAGCACTGGGGGGTCCTACATGATCCAAATGATTTTGTTAGCATTTTAAATGGAAAAGAAAGCCTTCTTTTGAAAAGTAAGATTAGACTGGACTCCCATAGGACAGGGATGGTAGCACATTTTCTTTTTATCTTTGTTATTATGGGTCGTATTGCATTGTTATCCCCCCTACCAAGATTTCATGATGAAGTCCTAACTCTTGGTGCCTATGTATGTGACCTTTTTGGAGATGGGGTTATTATAAATATTCTTAGTTATGATAAAGTCTCCTGGAGTAGAATGGGGCCTACTGTAATATGGCTGATGTCCTTATTCTCAGGGACAGGTAGATGCATACACACACTGAGGGAGAAGCTCTGTAAAGATGAAAGCAGAGATGGGGGTGGTACTTCCAGTTCCAAAGGTCAAGAAACACCAAAGCCTAGGAAAGGAAACCAATACACTAATTCCCAGTGGCTGGTACTTAACATGTTTGCTGGCTGGTTTTGTCTTAACACAAACCTAGACATGCCTGGAAAAAGGGAATCTCAACTGATGATAGCCCCCATCAGACTGGCCTGAGTGTACATCTGGGCCAGCATTTTCTTGATTACTGATTGATATTAGAGGGCCCAACCTATAAGTAGGCTGAGCATAGGCCCTGGTCTTTCAAGTATCCAGACCCACCTGGTGGCTTTTCCCAAACCACCAGAAAAATCCTATAATAATTCCTACAAGTATCCATGTTGGCAGCTTCAAATTTGCCTTTTCTGATATTGCTGGGAGAAGATGGGAATAGCAGTGAAGGCAGGGAGAGCAGAGACAGGGCAGAGTGTAGCCAACAAAAGAGGCCTGAGTTGGAGGACTACACATCCAGAATTTTCTGAGGTCAGACCTATTTCAGTATGTGCATCCTATCCTCAGAGCATGCATTTTCCCAGTCATGCATCCGCAACCTGTGACCTTGACAGGGGCAAACTAGAAACCACACCTGCCTCTGCTCTAAAAGATGCTGCTGGTGCCGTGTTGTTGACTACCCATGGTCTCAGACAACACTTTTAAGTATAAATGAGTACATGGAGTCTATCTGCTGGACTCAGAGAAGTGAGGCTTTGAATCCTAACAGTTTGCTCAGCTGCCTGGAAGTGGGTCTGCTTAAGAGGTATGAAGAATGAGGGCTCCTCCGTTGATTGGTAGAGTCCTTGAACATGAACGGATGCCATTAAAATCTTGAGATGTTTGCCATGGTTGACTCGAGACAAAGAAAGCACTTGGGCTCACACAGCGGCAGGTGCCCATGGAGTCTGTGTTGACTTTTCCCACAGTATCCCCCCTTTAAAAAGCATTTTCACAGGTAAGCCCTCCCCCAGCTCTTGCCTTGGTGCTCTGAGACAGTTCTGCTACCTATATTCTCATCTGCTGATGCTAAGGTCCAGCGAGAGGGAAGATGGGATGTCCTCATGCGCTTAGCCTCAGGCAGAACAGAACAGCCTGCCTTCTACTCTTAGCTGAAGCATCTGTCCTCTTGATGAACCTTCTCTGGTTCCCCTCATTTTCTCTCAGCCTTAGCCCCAAAGAAGACTCCTTACCTTCTAGTGTACTCCTATGGCCATCAGCACCAACGATGACGTCAAACTCAAAGTCAGACAGGGCGTGGTCTGCAGGGAGGAATTCTGCCCGCCATCCGACTTCTACCAGGGCAGAGAGATTATCAGATGAGCTGACAGGCAGGCTGAGAGAGTAGTGCCACCCCTCCTTGATGGCATGAGAAATGACCCAGTGGCGCCTCCCAAAGAGAGGCCCAGGTATCACATACATCCAGCCTTTTGACACAGGCACAATGCTATCATCTACAAAGTTCATTGTTAAGAACTGTGCAATTGAGGTTTTTTTTTTTTTAAATAGAAAAAAACACCTTCTTATAATATTTGAATTAAGCATACTATTTCATATTTGGCCACATTCGTAGCTATCCTGGGTAGCATGCGGTTCCCAAGCTGCAGGTTGGGGACACCCGGACAGTCCGGGTTCTCTCTGGTAACCTCAGGTTTTGTGTCACTGCAATTCAGAACAAAGCCAAGAGGGAGGCACTGCCAACTCCATGCCTGGTGTGGCTGATCTTTGCTAGGACGCCAACCTTCAACAATCCCCAAACCGGCCTCCCCTGTCTGTGTCTCCTCAGATCTGCCCATGTTTGCCCCATATTCAATGGCTTCTTTATTGTCAAGCAGATCCCAGAGAATGTTCGAGATGCCAGGGAGGCGCTTTGCCTTTCTGCTTCCTGCTCCAGTGGTCCGCTGTTTCTAGAAGCACTCTGGGGGCCAGCCTGGCTGGGTCCTCAGAGGTAGGACCGACTACCCCGCAGAGCTGTTCCAACAGCTGAGGGCACTCAGACTCTGAATGCCCCAAATGATCGTGTCTCGCTACAAAAGCAGAGAAAGCCTCCCCGAGTTGTGAAATCTACTGGACGGGGGCCAGGAGAGGTCTGCAGTGTGCCCTCCACGGGAAACTTCAAAGGTTCTAACACCCACTGCCTCACAGCTCAGCATTTCCAAGGCAGGAGGCAATTCTGACAGAAGGATACGAAACTGAAATGGAAAAACCCCACAACTGTGGGGTGCGAAAAAGATCAGACTTTGATTTTCCTTTCTTCTAGTTTTTGTTTTTTAGATGGTTCTCAGTATGCAGCCCAGGCTGGCCTTGAACCCACCACCATGTTGCCTCAGTGCTGGGATGACAGGTGTGCACCATCATGTTCAGCTAAAACATCACCATTTAAGAACGCATAATAAAAGAAAGAAGAATACTATCAAGAACCTGCCCAGGCGAAACATTTTATGATCTATAAACGAAAACTCAATAAAATTAAAAAACACTGCCGTGTATGACAGCTTTTTGTAATCCTAGCATTCAGGAGCTCAAGGGTTATCCTTGGCAACATAGCTTGTTTGAAGCCAGCTTGGGCTATGTAAGACTATCTCGGGAGTAACACGCATACGCACTTTGTGGTGGTTTGAATGAAAATGGCTTCCCAGACCCATAGAGAGTGGCAGTGTTAGGAGGAATGGCCCTGTTAGGGTAAGTGGCCTTCTTGGGGAAGGTGCATCTCTGGGGGTGCTTTGGGGCTTCAGAAGCTCAAGCCAGGCCTAGTGGCTCCATGTCTCTTCCTGATGCCTGTGATCCAGACGCACAACTTTCAGCTACCTCTCCATCGCCATGTCTGCCTGCGTGCCGCCGTGATGACAGGACTAAACCTCTGAACTGTAAGCCAGCCCTAATGCAATGTTTTCCTTTCTAAGAGTTGCCATGGCAGCGGGGTGGTGGTGGTGCACACCTTCAATCTCAGCACTCTGGCAGAGTCGGGCAGAGCTCTTTGAGTTTGAGGCCAGCCTGGTCTACAGAGGGAGTTTCAAGATAGCCTCTGGCTACATAGAGAAACCCTGTCCTGAAAACAAAACAAACACAAAAACACAAACAAAAACCTCAAACAAAGAGTTGCCATGGGTGTGATGTCTTTTCACAGCAATAAAACCCTAACTAAGACAAATACAAGGAAATATCATGAAGTTTTATCTTACAGTGCTCTAGATGGCTCAGTTTCTCTACTGTATTTTAAAATATTTTGAGGGTCCAGCCGGTACGGCTATCCATCTGTGTGTGAGATGACACACACACACACATCCTGAAGCATGTGTAAACTTTATTACACTCTCAGCTCTGTCTTTTTTCCTGCCACTGATTGGACGTCATTTGTCAAAGCTGCATCTTTCTGGAGTCTGGGTAACCAAATTATAGGCTTCATGGCATAATAATTCCACCATCACTCCACCCTTGTTGGGAGCTGAAGAATAAGCCCAAAGCCACAGAAATGGTCAAAAAAGGTAAAGTATTTGCTAGTGGAAGTATGCCAAACAGCTCCCAGCAAAAATAACTCGCAGAGATAGCCTCTGCGAGCCACCAGCACAGCTTCCCGTTTGGAATATCTGCCTTCAGGGCAGAGAGAGAAAGTTATATTGTACTTTGATTTTCTTGGTCTTCGGGAGGCTCCAGGACCCGCACAAATTCCACATTCACATGGATCTCCACTCCCAGCATCAGGGCCACCTTGAACAGGATAAGCTGCAGTTGACGGATACCTGTCAGGAAGGAAGGAAGGGAGATGACTGTCAGGAGCAATGTTTGAGCACCACCTGTGTGTAAGTACTGTGCAGTTGTGGCCCAGGGAGCACAGAGCATAGCAGCACATCAGCTGAGTTTGTTCCAGGCATTCCAGGGCTTCTCATTTATCCTACACAGTGACCTTTGGGGACCCTTATTCTCATTTAACAGAGGAAGATATTGAGCCTTAACGAAGTCAAGTGACTGCTGAAGGCAACACAAAGCAAAAAGCAGACTTGGTTCTGTCTGACTGGCAGCTCTGTTCTAGCTGTACCAGGATGCTCTAGCTAGGGAGATCTGTCTTTCCTACAACTTTGCTGAGCCAAACTCTGGATCTGATGTGATAAAGATGAACAAAAGAGGAGACAGTCAGGAGCTACAAGGAAAGTCAGAGCTCAAAGGGCTCATTGGATGAGGCCTATGCCTGAAGCTCCCCTCCCCTAATGTCCCCTACACAGCACAAATGGGCATCCCTCCAAGCAATTTTCTGCACAGTTTGAAGCTGTAAACTTGCTGTGGGCTTCTTTATATTGAGTGGGCATAGCTCATTTAATATTCACTGAGCACCCACAATGTGCCAGGCGTCAACTTAGGCACAGGGAGATGGGCGCATGGGCGCTAATGGAGGAAGCAGAAAAACAGAGTATGGGAGGGGTGCAGGGTGAGAAAAAGTTGGGGGGAAGGGGAGGGGCTAGGCTGGGGCTGCAAGAGAGGAGTAAGTGGGAGCACCAGGTTCCCTGGGGGGACTGAGAACAATGAGGGACACATGAAGCCAGGGCACCTGGGAGCCAGGAAGCTTCTGGGTAAAAATCTCTTTAGTGTAGTGACAGAGAGGAAACAGAGAACCATAGGCGGAGTATGAGTAGGTAGACAGTCCACACTTCTTCTCCTAGAACAAATCCTTTGAGCTAAGGAATAATAATGGGTCCCCCTAGAGGGTGAGGTCCAGGGTGAGGCGCAGGAAGACTGGTGATGGAGGGAGAAGGAGGAGAAAAATCCGAGAGACTAAGAGTTAGAAAAGATGGAAGCTCTGCTTCCGGGACACTAAGGAGGGAAGGTGACCATGTAAAGGGCAGGTCAGTGGCCTCTTTCCCCAGGCACGGGGTACAGGTAACTACTATGAACCTAGAGTGGAAGAACAGTGGAGGGCAGCGGAGAGTCCTAACACAGGACATGTAGAGAGCTTTTGAGGGTGCAGCTAGGGCTGGAGATGGCCTACCGTCTGAACAGAAGCCAGGCAGCCCGGCTTACAAAACCCAGGCCACAGCCAGCTAAGAAGACAGTCCTTCCAGGGGAGGCTTGGCCACACCTCACAGTGCCAAGGCTCCTGGCTTCCAGCACACAGTAGGTGCTCCATAAGCTCCCTATCTCATTCTCAGAGAGTTGCTCTTGACGACAGATGCCCTATCCTCTCAGCACTGTGCTCAAAGCTTTTGGTCCACCGTTTAACCGACAGACCTAACCCGCAGTCTTCTCTGGGCGAGACAGAGCATCCCGCCAGCTCACGCTGTGGCTTTCTGGGCAAATACAAATTTCTTCCCATTGAACTCCTGGAATCTTCTCATCCCAAAGCGGGAATAAACTCTGGGGCTGCTGCCGGTGGAGTCTTCTGTATCTGAATAAATTATACCCTTAGCAGCTGATAATTCTCTCCAGTTCCACCCATGCCCTACTTGCTTTCCTCATCAATTCTGCTCTCATGTGGCTATGGCTCCTTTTGCTCCCCTCTCACCCATCCCCATGAAAAAATACGGGGTTCTTAGGTTGGAGAACCACACATATACCCCACTTACTCCGTGCCACTGGACACAAGGCACTGCAGTACTCACTACACAACAGACATGATGCTAGTGGGTTACAAACTTGACCCACGTAACCTTAGCCATTCAAGGAGGCAGGATTAATCCCATTTTACAGGAGATAAAACAGAGGCCTGAGGAAAGTAAGGAGTTTGGACCAAAGTCAGGAAGAAATAAAAGAGACATGCCTTGTATTTAATTCAGTTCAAACACTTCCCATGTGACCTGCCTGACTTTCGTAAATTCGATTGTCATATGTTATGATCACTAGAGACCTCTTCCCTGCAAAACTGAGAGGAGGGATAGACTGTCTCTCTCCAAGCTGGTGTGCACAGATCTTGCCTCAAGATTCCATGAGTGACTAATGGCAGAACAGGAGCCATGCTCTGCACAGCCATTCAGAGATTGCCCAGCATCTTCAGGTGCTATATCCTCGACTTCCGTTCCCAGCCTCCCTGAAGTCACCTCATGCTGCCTTCTCTCTTGTCTCTAAGGAACTCTAAGGAACACTGGATCTGTCAGAGATTACACATCCAATTACGTCACCCCTCTGATCTGCCACCTGCTGCTCCCCAGGACTGGCAGTTCAATGTCCAAATGCCTCTCTGGAAGGAGGTCCCCACCAGCTGGCCCTGTTGAGAGGTTTTGTGAATTCTCTCTTTCAGATTCCTCCTGGGAGTGTGACTCACTCTGTTGAAGCACACTGTATTACTGGAAAAAATTTTAGTGAGCTCCCGGATCATACAGTCTCGGCTACTTACCACTGGGCTTTGTATTTCATTCATTCACTCAACAGATGTTTATTGTTCATCTATTATGTGTCAAGTACTTAGGCCCCAGAGACAGGTATTTTGGCAAGCAGGATATGAAAGAGTCTGTGATCAGTGGGATGTAGCCCAGAATAAGTCACAAAGCAGACTGTCATGGTCTGAATAAGAAATGTCCTCATGGACTCACGTGTTTAACATTTGACCCCGTCCAGGGATACCGTTTTTGGAGACTGAAGGACCTTTAGGAGATGTGTCCTAGCTAGAAAAAGTGGGCTACGGGGGAGGTGGGGGGAGCTTGAAGTTTATAGCCTAACCATTCTGCTGGCCTCTCTTCACTTCTGGATCTGTCCGGACATGTGCCAAGCAGCCATGAAGATGCTTGCCTTTGGGGGCTGTATCCTTTCAAACCATGAGCCCAAACAAATGTCTCCTCAAGCTGATCCCTGAAGTGTTTGGTCTCAGGCAAAGACAAGTAACTAGTCCACAGTCCTTCTGCTAGCACCAGAGAGTTGGATGTATGGATCCTCAAAGGGCCACCCAGGACTCCTAGACAAGATAGGTCCATGCACACTGAAACCTGAATGTTCCGGAAGCACCCGGCCCAAGCCCTACTCACTAATGTGGTCGATGGAGCCAGCACAGAATTTCCCATAGAACTTCTTGGCTCCCAGGTCCCGCAGGTCGTGGATGGTGAAGGGCCAGAGGTGCAGCACGTTGTTCCGGGAGAAGGTGTCCCTCTTTTCCACCACAACCACCTTGGCTCCCAGGTAGGCAAGTTCAATGGCAGTGCGCAAGCCACACGGTCCTCCTCCGACAATGAGACACTGTGCAGGGGAAGGAGACACTTAGCAACCTTGAGGTCCATGCAGTCTCACCAGCCACAGCACACTCGGCATCTGCCAGGACCTGCCACTCATCCACACAGTGCACATCCCCTGTGGGTTCATCACAGACTAGACACTGCTCAAGCCCTGGGAGGACACAGAAAGGGACTGCAGGGGAAGGCACTGTAAGATGCAGGGGGGTCCTGGCGAGGCTGGACCAGATCTGATCCCAGTCCCAGCATGCTACCTTTTAGCTTCCTTTTCTGCGGACTGGGTCTGTGAGGTGCTGCTTTCCCTCACAGGGATGCTGTCAACACCTTAGGATACATTTTACCTTAGGAAAGTATATTAGATTGGGATGCAGTTCTCCTGTAGGGCGCTAGCCTATACAGAACATCATTCCTGTGACCGAAGGCTAGCCCAAAGTTCCTTGGGACCAAGAACCAAGCAACCGAAGAAAGTATTGACAAACTGGACTTCATCAAGATCAAACACTTTGATGCTGGAACAGGAGAGATGAATCTGTGGCTAAGAGCATTCTCTGTTCTCCTAGAAGTCCTGGTTCCATTCCCAGCATCCACACTGGGTAGCTCACAACCACCTGCAACTCCAGCTCAGGGGACCTGATACCCTCTTCTGGCCCATCATGCACCTGCGTACGGGCGCACTCCCTGCTCCCAAGTGAAAAGAAGTCTTAAATAAAACTTTGATGTTTCAAAAGACATTATTGTCAAGGAAGTAAAGAGAAGACAGTCATGGTGGCATATGTCTGTGAGCCCAGGCAGCCTGTCTTAACCCCTCTCACCTCCCTTTCTCAACTCAGCAAAGAAAAGGAAGAAAGACATTAATTAGCTCCCACATACACAGTCAGTCAAACATGCACAAAAATAAGTATTAAACAAACAAAAACTTCTGGCACATTGGTATACGTTTGTATTCCCAGAACTCAGGCAGGAGGATTGCAAATCCTAGGTAGGGCTCAACAAACAAAAATTGTATGAGAAAAAGGTAATTAGAGAAAAAGGTAATTAGAGAAAAAGTACGGAACACACTGGTGTGATGCTTGGATTCTTTTGTACAAAGTTTTAAGTTTTATTCTACACATGGGTGTTTTGCTTGCATGTCTGTCTGTCTGTGCACTGGGTGTAGGCCTGGGGCTCATGGAGGCCAGGAGAGGGCACTAGAGCCCCTGAAACTGGAGTTACAGATGGGTGTGAGGTACCATGTGGGTGCTGAGAATTGAATTTGGATCCTCTAAAACAACACCCAGTGCTCCTAACCACTGATCCGTCTCTCTAGTCCTGACTGTGGGAGTCTTATTGCTGAAAACTAGTTCCTGCTGCTCTCTCAGGCCATGGAGTAGATGTGGACTTTGAAATAAATAAATAGAATGCAGCGTGGTTCATTCTCTTCATGCACAGGAGGTGAGAAGTTAATTCTGCCTGGAAGAATGCTGGGGCATCTGAGGAGGGCTTTCCATGTCGTCGCCGCCATTGTCAGCGTCGTCATCATCATTGTCGTCATCGTCATCATCACTGTAGCCCACACTTGTGAGATCTCACCCACTCCCTTTCATGTGTTTGACTTCTCAAATTCAGGAACTGTTATTGCTCATGCAAGAGAACTTTGACTCAGACCATGTCCCAAGTGGGGGAGAGCAGGGAACAAAGCCACAAGGTAACTAAGTGGTCCGTGGTGTCAGATTAAGAGGAACGAAGCCAGGATCGAAACCCAGATGGCCTCATGCCTGAGCCTACTGTGCTGTACTTTTCGAGCCTACTGTGCAATGCTGCTTCTGGTTTGGTGGAAATAGAAGGAAAACGAAACATCTCAGCGGATGGAGTCCATTATAAGTGGGGCGAAAGGGGGAGGGAAGAGGAGAGCTGGTCTGCACCCAGATGCTGAAGATCTTAAATGCATTGGTCTTGTTGGCACTGGGGCCCTAGGTAAGGAAGAGACAAACAGGACTTAGGTCCATGCCAAGTCACTGCATGTTGAAGAAGCCCATGTCCTTTTCCAGGGAGGACAAGGTCTGTTAGGACCTAGATAGTGGCACTAACATCTAATTTTCTGCATAGCCTCAGCGTTGCATGAGACCTGAAATCATGGCAGTAGTCCAGCAGAGGCAGGAGTTCCCAGATGAGGGTGTGTGCAGGGTGGGGATGGGGTGGGGGATGGGTGAGTAGGTGAAACTGCTCAGTAAGGCCATAAGGAGACCCTCACTCACTCCCCTCTCACAGACGGACGTCTGGAAACTTCCCTCTACTTGGGATTAAATGTTATCTTAAAAACACATCCCCCTTCCTGAGCAAATACTCCCTCCTCTGGCTGTCACTCCCCTAGGCCGCCGGTGTCCCAGAGGGAAAGTGAAATCGCGCGTATCAGAAGCTCCCACACTGCAATCAGTGCAGTTTACCAGCTGGAACCTTCCGGAGAGTTTGTAGACACCCAGTAAGAGGAAATGAAGTCACTGCTGAGATTTGACTCACCCCCAGAGACTTTGGGGAGTGTGTGGGGAGGGGGAGGCCGGCTTTCTCTCTGGACAGAGGTGCCTGGAGAAACCTAGGTTTCCTCAGCCTGGATCCATGTTATCTCACCCTCCACACAGCTTCTTGCTCCACATAGCCAGACAATGATGGTCACTTCAGAGCCTGCTCCAAACCCCAGGCTTGTGAGGTTTGCTTTGGGGCTAAGTCTGGACCCATTACATGTCTTTGCAGTTACTGCATTTTTCCTGTTGGTGAGCTCTGTCACCCCACGGCCAAGGCTGGGCCAGCTGGAGCATGTAGGGTGAAGAAGGGCAGGAAGAGGAGAGAGGCCTTCTGCAGTTTTTGTTCACCGGGCCTGACCATCTCCAGCCAGGGGCTGTGTTGTACATGGAGTGTGCAAACATTAGACAGGGCCCATGTCCACTCCTCTTGACAGAACCTGGATTCCTGTCAGTGAATGTGTGGCTTTTCCGTCATTCTAGGCTCTGTTCCATTGTTTGGCCCTGAAATCTCAGAGATGCTAATCATACCATAATCTGAATCAAAGCAAATGCCAACGGGCTTAGTTATATGAGGGGAGAAGATCCAGGCTGGCCCAAAGGTCTGTTGGCTGGGATTGTGGGGGCAGGGCAGTGCCCTTGGAATGTGCTAATGATCAGAATAGGGACTTGATATCCCATCGAGGGGCCAAATACCGTGCAGCCATGCGACCAGGTAGAGGAGTAATCCTGGCTCCCTGGGATGCCCATGGTCATTGGATGCTCTGGACATCAGGTGTGGCCCGGCAGACTGAACACAGAGGGAAAGCACTGTCCCCCTTCCACAGGTCCACCCAGCAATTGACACCACTGCCTGACTTCCAATAAACGGAGCTTTTGGTTAAAGCTCAGCCTCAGTCAGTAATGTGCTCATTGCCCAATCAGGAGAACTGTTCTGTCCTAGAACCCATGTTTAAAAAGAGGGAGAGAAAACCCTGCTGTGCTTGGTGGCACACATCTGTTACTCGGCTCTGGGGAGTAGAGACAGTTGGATCCCTGCGGCTCAGACTAGCCACCCTAGTTGAAGTGGCGAGTCTTGGGCCAATGGGAGACCCTATCTCAAAAGACAAGGTAAGTAGCTCCTAAAGAGTGACATTCAAGGTTGTCCTCTGGCTCCATGCACACACATGAGCAAACATACCCCACCCCCGCAAACACATATCCCTCCCCCATGAACACACACACACACACACACACACACACACACACACACACACCCACCCCCGAAAGGCCTTCCTAAATTAGACTGCACAGTCCTCCTCCTGTGCTCCTGCCGGCTCAGTCCTTACTGGCCCATAACAACACTCTCATGTTATCATTGGCCAGGCCTCAAGAACTGCCCTGCATTATCTGTGTGCCTGGAACTCATCCACTGCCTGGTACCGCACAGGAGGCCCAACTCGTAGCTGATGGATGAATGAACTTCCCACCCACTCCTAGCCAACTCATTTCTGGCTTTCTGCCCCTGAGAGGGATGTTGGGTGCATGCACCCGAGGTTAATGCTTGCAGATTCCCACCCAGACAGAAGGAGGGGGGGCAAGGGGGCCTGTGAAGGCCACCTACATCATGGACATCAGTATTATCTGTGTCCTTAAGTGACGGGAATTATTGCTCATTGGGCAGATCCACCACCAGCAGGAAGTCCACTGTTGAGATAAGCTTGGAAGGGTTCAGACCTGCACATTCTCCACAAGAGACAAACACCGCATGGAAAAAACAGCTTATCAAGGGGCAGAAGGGGGACCAACAGACATAAATGCCAGGCGAGGTAGCGGTGAGGACTCACACGGAACCCTTGCTGTACTTCGCAGGAGCCCTGAAGGCATGAGTCTTTTTCACTTTTTACTTATTTTTATGTGTCAGCGTTTTGCCTGCAAGTGCCTGTGGAGGCCAGAAGAGGGTGCTGGATCTTTTGGAACTGGAGTCACAGACAGTTGTGGCCTGCCACGTGGGTGCTGGGACTGCACCCAGATCCTCTGTGGGAGCAGCTAGTGCTCTTAACCACTGAGCCATCTCTCCAATTCCCCCCCCCACACTTTTTTTTTTTTTGCATGTATGTGTTTGTGTGGCATGCATGGGCGTGTATGTTCATGAGTGTAGGCACAGGTACACATATGTGCATGTGTGTGTGCCTAAGTTGTGAAGTTGACAACTGGAGTCTTTCTCAGTCAATTTCCATCTTATTCAAGTGAGCAGAGAGCTCACAGATACAGGCCAGTCTAGCTAGCTGGCTTGCTCTGGGTCTGGAGGTCCCCTGACCCTGCCTCTGATGGGCTGCCACACCTAGCCAGCCCTTACTTGGGTTCTGGAGGTCGGAACTCCACTTCTCACATTGCATGGCAGGTATTCCGGACACTGAGCCGTCTCCCCAATCTAATTACTCATTTCTTGATGGCACAGTGCATTTTCCAGCTGTCCCCCCGCCTAGCCCAGAAGGACACGGGGTCGCTGGGATCCCGCACAGAATGTGCT